CTCGATATATTATGAGGCATGCTTGTGTTTTCCTCTAACAAAATGATTGTAAGGTATTATTTACTACTAATGACAAGCAAATAAGACTCATATTGAGATTTTTTAATTGTAATTATTTACCAAATACATTTTTTCCTATAAATATAATCTCTTAAAAGCCTTAAGAAATATAACTGGTCTTTAAAGAATCATGCTTAGCACTGAAGAATAATATAAGAACATGCAGACCAAGTATAACAATCAAGAAGTATAAAACAACTCTAAAAAGTTTTCTTTTATACCTCAGAAAATATGAATATACTTTCTTTTTAAATGTAAAAAAAACCCCACTTTGAAATAGCTTTATATTTGGGAAAAACTTGGTAATGCCAGATTGGTACAAGGAGAGGGTCACCCAGTAGAATTTTAGATTTTAGTATAAGGAGGATTTTGAGTTCATGCCAATGGGGATAGGGGAGTTCTGTCTACTTTGGGAAAGTGAGTTTCAAAAGGAGAGACCATTACATTGAAAAGGTTATGTGACAAAGAAGAGGGTTGGGCTGCAGACTATTACCATCTTTAGAAGCTCAGGGAAGTTTGGTTTCCTTCCCTATGGTCTCTTAACAGCATTCCCTTGAACTGGTTAACTCTTGACCACAGAAGCTTAACTCTGTTGGTCTGGCCTTATTTACGGCCTGACAGAAATGTAGTGGAAGAGGCAAAAATGTCTTTATTTCTTTCAGAGAAAAAGGAAAAAAAAAAAAGCTAAATTTAGGGATAGAACCCAAAGTCATGGCCTAGTAGTCCCTTTACATATAAGATTTTTACATCATTTGAATGTACTCTTTCAATATTTTTGGAGTAGGTTAATATTCCCCAGAATGCAGACATGGCAGTCGGGTCAGTTGTGAGGACAATGTCAGGAGGTTAATTTGCAGTCTTTGACGGAAAGGCGAGCTTGCTCTCTTCACTCTGCAGAGATGCTGAAGGAGCTGTTCATGCACATGCATGTAGTGTGTTTATCATGTAAAGCTTGTTCCAGAAGTACCACTTTACATTGATAGAGATGAATATGTAATAAACAAAGGAATTGCATGCAGGGTGGTAGGAAAGAGAAATACTGTACCAATTGGCAAGGGGCATCCAGCCCATCCAGGCCAGGCTGGCCTGGCTCCCCTTTTTCCCCCTTAACGCCACGGAATCCCTGTTTGTAAAGATTAACTCATAATGTTACTAACACAAGAAATCATTTAAGCACAAATTCTGCTAAAGAAATAACTACAAAACCAAAAGGCTGGGAGAGGAGCAACTCTGAAGGACAAAGTAACATCCACTGAAGCTGGATGGAAAAAGAGCTCGACCTATCCCTGTAATCAAGGCTTCTCTGGGAACAGTTACTTTCTTTTGAATGGTGTGGAATAGCACCAATTCATCTTCAGGTGCTGTAGTCATATTCCAGTTGCACGTCAATATCTGAGTGCTAAGAAACCAAACAGAGCTGGTGGCCAGAAACGAGGCATGGAATATACCGGGATAGCCCGAGATAGATGCGTGTGGTCCCTTGAAGCCTCTGTTAAACACCCCCAATCAGAACCCCTGCTGTTACGTGTCTCTCCAACTTGCTCTTCTCCCAGTTTATTCCTTCACACATGACATCTGGAGACAGAGTTCCATGAGTCAGACATACCAACGGGCAAGGTGCATCTAATCCAGGAGCACCCTGTTCTCCTTTCTCCCCTTTAGGCCCCTTTTTGCCTTTCTTTCCCTTTTCCCCCTGTGGATATAAGGGTTTAAATAAAAGACAGGTTTTATTTGGGGGGGGAAATAATGGCAATTCAAAAGATGGTTTAGCCAATAAACGTCTGGAAGGGCATTTACCACTGTTTTCTGGTTTAGGTAAGGCACGATACTGTAAAAGATAACCTAGACTTTCAGAGTGACAATGGATTCTGGGCAGTGATAGGTGCGGTTTTACTTAAGACACTCAACAAGATGAAAGAAGGAGATTTAAAAAGCCAACACATCAAGTGCTGACTTAGACCCCAGCGCCCTAGTCTTGGTGAATGAGGTGTTTCCGCCGCAGATCCGGCGAGGATGACGGATACAACTGTATGGGAGCCAGCCAGTGGCAGGTCAGATTCAGAGGAATAATGAATACTTCACCCAATTTTCAATACTGTCAGCTTACTTTTTTTTTCCTTCTAATTCTATAACAGATGAAAGCTACACTGAGCTGGACAAAAAGGACAGAATATTAACAGCTTCTATCTTTTGGAAATGTATCCAATTTTATGACATTATTTTTTGTAGCTCTCATTAAAAAAATATTCAGTATATTGAAATATGCTTCTCTTTCTTTTAACATTTTTTTAGGAAACTAAAAGCAAATACTTTTTTATTAAGTCAGGTAAACAAATTTTAAAAGTGCTAATAGTTCTCAGCAATGCCAATTGGAGAAACGGACTTATTTATAAATCGAGGGATTTTCTTTAATTCACTCTTACAGATATCATGCCAGGTGTTCACAATGGTAAATGGGTTTCCAGCTTACTCACAATGTAACAAAAGCCAAAAAAAAAAAAATTCTGTTCAAGAGAGGAAAAGCAGTTTGGACTCAGTTGAGCTAATACTAAAAATGAGGTAGGCAGGATAATTACATAGTGGGAATGTAGCCATGGAAATTAGTATTTAGGAATCAAGGTAAAGGTTGTGGAAATCTGCATGGATCATGGGAATGGAGGAATTAAGGAAAGGAGGCAAAAGGAGGAGAAGGAAGGAATGCATCTCAGCTGTTTCTTATTAACATAAATATCTCTGCATATTTATAGACAAGAAGTTGGTGCTGTACAGAATACAAAATACTGTGCAATACATATTTAAATTAGTGTATTCATTCCGCACTCAGGAAGGCAGTTACAATAAAAGTGAATAATTTCAGAAGCGAAACAACATGAATATTCAAAGACATATACATAAGATATATATGAGATAAGCATTCAAATTAATGCATTCATTCTGACTGTGTGAGTGAAAGCTCCTCATTTGTCTCCTGTGTGCCAAAAAGATTGCATCAGAAGGCTCAGAATCAAAAACACTTGGGTTTCTTGAATACTGGGGAAAGAGAGAAATTCTGTGTTGTTTAGTTTATCATGATCAAAGATGAAGACCTGAGAATCCAGGGTGAAATGAGAGCAGGTGTGACAGGAAGTAAGCTGGGAGGATCGTTCAGGACTAAGTTGCTCACTCATGCAAGATCGGTCAACATCCTCAGCAAATAACTTCAATGTCACGACATAAAATTGTTTTAAACTTGTTTGGGTGAGCTTTTCCCTCCCAGGAGGCAGGGGACTCTTCTTCACATAGTGAGACAGGTGTGTTGGGTATTGATAATTTAGAATTCAATTCATTATTTGGTAAACCAACTGAAATTAATCACTCCCCAGAAAAGTGTTGTCATATGAATGTTGACTCTAACAGGCTACAGGAATCATTTTTCAGTAATATGTTAGCGGACCTCAAGCTTTATGGAAAACAGACACTATTATACAAAGAACAATGAATCAGCATTATTATGAACCAACATAATTTTGTAACAGTTAGTGATTCCCTATGCAACATAAAACTATCTGCCCTGAGCACATGAGGGCTCTTGCTAATTTTTATTTCCCATGTCGAAGAATGATATACATAAAGTGTTCCCATTTGAATCTAATTTTCCTAAATATAAAATTTCTAATCATGGAATCTGAAATATGGGAATATTTTTGTATGAGTGATTAACATTATTCTGAGGATTAAATTTATAGCTTTGTGTTTTCATAAGTTACAATACTGGTAATTTCTTCTTTGTTTGAAAGATCATTAAAATGAGTATCCCCATAATGGTGACATACTTCTGAGTGAATAAGATTTTAGACTCATACAACCCATTAAATAAACATAAAATAAATGTCTATACTCTTTAAAAGCACCTCGACCTTGGGCTAAAAGCTTGCATGCACAATTTATCTCAAATCAAAACATGCATATTTTATAGTTAGCATTTATAATTCAGAATAAAGGAATTTTTTTTTTTTTATGTTTCAGTTTCTTTGTCTGTGAAATGGGGACAATAACAGCACCAATCTCAGGGCGGGGGTTGTTACGAGGATTAAGAGACTTAGCGTAAAGCTTTTGGGGAAACATATAGTAAGTGTTCAATAAATGTGATGATATTGATAATGATGATGATCTTGCTTTTACATAACTATGACAGGAGCTCTCTTACCAGTGGGAAGCCAGGTAATGCCTAAAGCCTAAGGAACACACAGCAGCCTTAATACCCTTCTTTCTTTGACAATTCTAATTTGGCCTTGCTTTTCAACAGCAATCAACTTCATGGTTAGAGAAAATTTATAGGGTTTTGAAAACTGTTAAGTACAGCAGGACATAAATTAATCTGAGAAACAGAACTGGTTTAAATTGGAAGTGGGAAGGTACAATTTCAGCCACTTTTACTTCTTTTGCTGTGTCCAGTGTAAACAATTACTATTCAAGGACCCAAGCAAAGGGGAGAGGAAAGGAAGAAATGATTTCAAAAATCCATTATCCAAATTTTGCTTTCAGACATAAAACCAATTTGCCCGATATTGGCTGCTATATACGCTGGGGCCGGTGGTCCCGAGATAGAACCTGAACACCAGCCTCATAAAATACACTAATATCTTCATTTAAAAATATCTCCAGCATCTGAAAGTGGCAAGTCCTAGTCTCTGATAAACTCACTGGGGTTTATCAGTCACACTGCTTGCCCTCCATTTTCCAATAAAAAAATCAGGATACAGGACACGTCTACTAACTCTCTACTGGCATGCTGTGCATAAAAATGAGATCCTGGCTTTACAGGGTTAGGTGAGCTCTGCCAGAAGACTCTTGCAGATTTGTGCTATTTAAGTTTACTTTGATGTAATAAATGCCTTTTTATTTCACCTTCAAGAATCCCTGGACATTACATCTTTCAACAAATTGGTGTCAGGTAAGCCTGCCAATTTTTTTCTTCTATGCTAGACTGTGCCCTTATTTCTAGCACTGTAGCCTTCTTCATTCCTCTGTGAAGACCTGGTTTTTTTAGATCAGGCATTGGTGTGTTTTTGGAGCACAGGATGGAGAAAAATTAGATATATGAAAGAATCGCATAGATTGAACAGCAAAGCACACAGCGTGAGAAAAATCAAACAGGCACATGCTAGAATGGAGAGGTCACCTTTTCTCCCTTTTCTCCTACATCACCCTTCTCGCCTCGTGGACCAGGGAAGCCCTAGAGGATGAAAAGCAAGCCAAAAAGATCTACTGATGTAACTGTGGCAAAATCACGTTAAAAAAATGTAAGATTCCGTGCTCCTGAACACAAATATGAAGAAAAATAGTACCATCAAGAATCTCAAAACTTAGATAGTTAAAGTACCACTTAGGAGTAATAGTTGTCTAACATCTCAATTATCTATATGAAACACATTTCTTGCTTTTTCTCCTAAGATATATATAGTGGAAAGTATATCAGGATCCTAGTTTGAATCCTAGCAAGGACACTGATTTGTGTGGTCTTGGGCAAATCACTTACCTCACAGCATTTTATGCTTGCCCAAAACAGGTGCTCAATAAAAAGTTAACTATTATTACTTTTGCTTTTATTATTCTTCACATAATAAGGCTGCTATAATATTCACATAATACAGTGATCATTTCAAGAGGCATTTACTTTTGACATTCTCTATTTTTTATAGAATTATGTTATTATAAAACATATAGACACTTTATGCTAAGAGGAAGAAATACTGCGTAGCAGCTTTGAGAATAAACATAGTATACCATTCCCGAAGGGTGGCACGTGAAAGATATTTCAATTTTATGCATATTTTTAAATAAGTGGTTCAACTGCTGATGTTCAGGGTGTCCCTAATTTGGGAAAGTATTTTGAAATGCCATTATCAACTGCTGGTTATTAACTTTATACTAGTTATGTGTTTTGCTTTTCTGTTTATCTCATGCAGACACTAGTGGTGTATTTTATATTGCGATCTACACACACAGCAATATATGCTATATGCATAACTATGTGCACAGAAAAAAAAGTATTTTTGCTATTATTGATGATGGAGACCATCAGCATCTATTATAATAGGAAGATGTTCATTGTACATGTATTACTTACATCAAGACCAGGCTCTCCATCTTTCCCCTGCCAAAGAACCATAGTAGCTACATTAGTGTTCCTAAGTTTCATGAATAGGTTATTGTTATTGTTTTAAGGCTGCCTGGACATGCAACACTAGTATTAGAACAACTACTTCAGAAATGTGAAAAAGAGTCTTTATTGATTGATTAGTAATACAAATTTCTTTCACCAAATCAAATGAAGTGACCATTAATGCTGCAGTTAAGAGTCATAAAAATTTTTTCTATTAGAGATTAGTTTACATAGCCTGATATTTCGCTGAAGTTTAATGCTTGGCATCCAACTGATCAATCCAGGAATAAGTTGAAAGCACAAATACCAGTTAGTTGATTTAAAAACATACCAGCACTAATAAAATATGCAAATCAATACTGCTTCAACTTGGTAACTTAGTACTTGGCTCATAAATGAGAAAAGAATGTGAAAACTATTTATTGTTAAGTATAGTTTTAACTTGGCTAGATGTGTACCTTGTCTATAAATATTGAGGGTGTGTCACAATTTAAAAACTGTTTTTAAGTAAGCTTTGTCAATAAATAATTCCCAGATACAAAGGAGTCACCAGACTGTTGTGCAAGGATTGATAAATTTACCCCCGTGGTGCAGATTATCGGGGCCATGAGCCTATTGTGTCACACAATGGATCCATCCAAAGTTACTGGGAAGTTGCTTTAATTCTGACAATTAGATTTTGAAATCTATTTCAAAATCAGCATCTCTTTCAGCCAGCACTAATCCTGGCTTAAGTTTATTACTCTGGTTCAGAAAAACTGTAAAGAATAAAGCATGTGGTAGGCACACAGGGGTTAAAAACCTTAATATACTGTATGTGTCTATTGTAACCCTACCCGGCCCTATCGAATCATTTATAATTACCCCAAAGGGAATGTTCTGAAGCATGCCCGCAGCCTCAATTTGAAACACTGTATAACAGAATTTTCAGAAGGCAGGCCACTATCGACATTCTACGTTCTAAAGAGGTCTTGTCATTACAGTGCGTTAGGTCAGAAACATCAAAGTCATTGTAAAAATCAATGTGAGAAATCACCTTTATTAGCAAGATTAGTTTTAGTAGGTAACCTATGAGAACAGATAAAGTCTGAAGAAAGTTGTCTTAAATAAAACTTCCCCACCCACTTTGGTAGCGACATTCTGAGGAAGTGCCAATTATGGGCGTCTAGTCAGATGGTACAGAGAGGGTGTTTTCTGACAGTGGGAGTCCTGCTTTCAGGTTAGGTCTGTTTATCTTGCGGACAATCTCTGATCCTCTCAAGCTTAGGATGTGTGTGTGTGTGTGTGTGTGTGTCTGTGTGTGAGTGGGAGAATAGATGTGACTGTGACCCATCAAGGACATGGTAACACTGGTATTGTGGAGAACTAGTGGATGGCTCTTTGCTCCTCTAACGTGATTAGTCTGCCCTACCAGGGAAGGGTTAACCGTGCCAGTGTCACGTCATCTACGCATGCTGAAGTTGGAGACGAGAGAGGGAACTCACAGGCAGACCATAGGGTCCTCTGGGTCCGGGTTCTCCCATAGCTCCTTTTTCACCCTAAAATGAAAGCCATAAAATTCAAATCATATACAAATGCCTGTATTGACACACTTTCCCTAATGGCCTGTGTATAAAGCCTCCACGTGAGGTACCATTCTATCAAGATTCCAAGGATGCAGGCTCTTCTGGGGTGTCTGTCAGTGATCAGGTAAAAGAAACCCACATTTAGGGGCACCTGGGTGGCTCAGTTAGTTAAGCGTCTGCCTTCGGCTCAGGTCATGATCCCAGGGTCCTGGGATCGAGTCCCACACGTCAGGCTCCCTGCTCAGCTGGGAGCCTGCTTCTCCCTCTCTCTCTGCAGCTCCCCCTGCTTGTGTTCTCTCTCTCTGTCAAATAAATAAATAAACTCTTTAAAAAAAAAGGGAAAAAAAGAAACCCACATTTGCATATTCTATCAAATTACCTCTGAAAGAAGGGCAGTAAGAGTGCTGCAGCCCAGTTGTGCAAAGGACTTGCATATTCTGGAGCGCTGTACTTGGGTTTCTTTGGCATTCGTGTGAAACAGTTATTTGTTACTATTTTAAGTTACTACATTTTTAAAATATAAGAATAAAATGTCTTTTTTTCCTATCAAATGTCTCTTCTTTGGCAGCCTCTTCCTTGGCCGCCCTGGCCCTTTACCAAGGTGTATTTTACTTTATAGCTTCCCACACCAGGAGACACAGGCGAGTTTTATTCTCTGTTGAGCTCCTCACTAGAATATGCACACTGGGGGCCAGGGCCTCTGGCTTGGCTCCCTCCTGCATCCTCACGGATCACAGTAGTGTCTGGTGCATCAGTAAATATTTGTTGAATCAATCAAGTCAAATCAGTACAATCCTGTACATGTTTTGTTTCCTTTCTGAAAAAGAGAGTTTAAAAACTTTTATGCCTTCTTCTAAATGCCTGAGAAGGTAGGCATATATGACCTTCATCACTTGCTCTCTACGTGCCTATTTAAATAGAGTCTTTTGCTTCAGCTGTAACAATATATGTGATAATGATAATCTTGAGGGCTTATAAAGAATAATGTGAGATTGGAGGTCATACCACGAATACAAAATAATCATAATAAAGAGATCTTCTGCATTTCGAGTAGTGTTTTCTTCTGCTGCCATCTCCAAAATTAAAGTGTTTGTCAGGATTTGGCATGCAAACTTCAGGAATAATGGTGATATATACATATATATTTTTTTTAGACAGAGAGAGAGAGAGAGAGAGAACACAGGCAGGGGGGAGTAGGAGAGGGAGAAGCAGGCTTCCCACGGAGTAGGGAGCCCGATGCGGGGCTCGATTCCAGGACCCTGGGATTGTGACCAGAGCCGAAGGCAGACGCTTAACTGACTGAGCCACCCAGGCACCCCAGTAATGGTGATATTTATATGAGTGGCCAAAAAGAAAATGTTACCTTCTTCTATCACATCCTTAAAGTTTAAAGGTTAGCAAATCTTTTTCATGGTTAAAATGCAAACTTCCTCTAGTAGCTGCATGTGCAGATGCAAGTATTATGCTATGTGTTTCTGTACTCCTGATTCCAGTATGAGCAAATTTCAAGTCACTATTCACATTCTTCTCTCTAAACTTAGGGGCTGGTGGGACTAATGAGAACTGTCACCTAGAGGCACATATCGTGTAGGGAGAGTACTGAAAATAAATATGATAAAAGCTTGTTGAACTTCTACTCATCATTACTTTATGTTTATTACCGAGAGATCAGCAATCCCATTCAGGAAGGTGGCCAGGCTTTGAAATGAAACAGATTTAAATTTGAATTCCACTTTGGCACTTACTGACTCTGTGGTCGGTCTTAGGTAACTTTCTTAACCTTTCTATGCCTGAGTTTCATTGGCTGTTAAGAATAATAATACATATTCTGCAAGAATTTTTCTGAAGATTAAATGTGACTGTAAAATATGAAATATGTCACCAAATAATATGTCCCATAAATAGTAGCTATTGTCATTAATATACAATTAGAGGTCTTGTTTTTAACAAAAAGGGTTTGGCAACCCATTCAAATTAAATTTCTTTCAGTTTGATCTGGCTGTGTGATTTATGATGTTTTGAAGATTTTATTTGTTTATTCATTTTAGAGAGAGAGAGAGAGTGCACAGAAGGAGAGGAAGAGGGAAAGAATCTCAAGCAGAATCCATGCTGAGCACAGAGCCTAACGCGGGGCTCGATCTCACGACCCTGAGATTGTGACCTGAGCTGAAACCAAGAGTCAGACGCTCATCCAACTGAGCCACCCAGGTGCCTCTATTTATGATTTCTTAAATGGTGGTGGTGGTGGTGTATATGTGTTCGTGTGCAGGGGAGTGGGCGGTGTAGTAGGAGGTGGGGGGTTTAAAAGGAAAGCTCACATAACCTGGAGTAGGTCTAGTTTGAAAAATCTCCACAGATTTTTTTGATATACCTATTCCCTTTTTCCTCCTCTGACGGAGTACTTTCAGGTTTATTGTGTTTTTAAAATGAATACACCATGGCTTGTCTGAATTAAGTTGTCAGTAAAACATTTGTCTGTGGAACTGCTCTTACAGAATTGCTCACCCCAAATAATTACTTTTAGGTAATGTCAATTCCATTTCACTTGCCACTGACAGCTTCAGAAGTGGACACATGCCCCGATTCTGGCCAATGAGGTGCTGGGGGAAGTCTGAGGGGAGGCGATGGGGAAGGTTTGCTCGTGCTGCTAAGGAAGAGACACGGGAGAAGATGACGTGTGTTGGTTCTCTGCGGATGCCTCACCGGAGGGGAGGTTTGCAGGGACTGTGACCAGCTTGCGTGATCAGAAGACCAAGTCAGCATGTGGAAAGGGAACAGAAGCAGAGCCGAGAGTCCCTCCTTTGAATATTTTGTTATATAAAACAACGAATTTCTCTATTGTCCTAGCCATTTTGAGTTGGGATTCTGTCACTTAAGAGTGAAAAGCATCCTTGAAAACTTTTAATTTGAATATGAAATATGAAACGAAATAGGGATTTGAATTCTCCTGGATTAAATAATTCTTGAAAAACTTCTGAACCTCTCAAATTTAACACGCTTCACAGAGTTCCGAAGCAGTTAAGGCCAGATGAAGAAATCAGCTCAAGGCAGGGAGACCGTCAGGTCCTTGAAGGGCTCACGCTGTCACTCATGTATTTGACATTACTGAAGGACACTGTAGAATGCCTGGTTTCTTTTAGGTCCGTCTCATTTCTTTCAGGCTCTTTAATTTGCATGTCTACACTGAGGAATTCTTCTCCAATGGATTCCTGATTCCTCCCTCTTTAAAATTGGAAACTTTTCCAGGAGAGTCCAGATGGCACCTCAGTCAATTAACTTGGAGAATCGCACTCCAGTTTAGCACTTTGGGTGAGGGGCACTTGGAGAGTACTGATACATGATCCGGTTAAGATAGTTAACGTGCTGAGTAAATACAAGTGTAACACTTTACACTGCACACCATTTGACTTGAACTATGTCTTCAAAAATTCTTAGCGACTTCATTTGCTCTCCTGGTTAATTCTGCCCCAGCGCCGAGACCTGATACTCTTGTGACACTGCGGAGCTCGGAAATAGCAGCTGATTTACCAAACGGTAAACCCTCTTGAGCCCCAAAGGCATCCTGCCAAAAGACTACTTGAGATTTGCTGCTCCATTTTTAGTACATGGGCTGGATTTCTTGACCCTGCTTGAATGTGTCAGCAGCACATGAGGCTCTTTGCTTTTAAATATTTTTAATTAAGATGATCTTCATAAGTCGGTTTGATTTTAGAAATCAATTGCAGATTCAGATAATTTATTCCTTTAGGACTCACCTCTTTCTAGAAGCATTCTTGGATGAAGCCAGACTTCCTCATCATTGTACGTACAGTCTTTGCTATTTGTATTCATTTTGGTCTCATTATCTGGCTATTTCTTGCCGATATTTTTTTCCCTCTGCAATTAGATTGTAAACTCTGCTAGGTCAGAGAAAATAGCTGCTTCCTTTACAGTATTGAGTAAATATATATAGTGTAGGAGTAAAAGGTTATGGGATGACGAATGCCAATTATGATGGCGTTATTCAATTCACTGCAGCAAATTAGCAAAGTAGACTACGCAAATGGGAGAAGAGTGCTTCCATTCCACACTAGGAGTACACTGTCGTTTTATAGATCATAAAATGTAATAAATATTTACTGAATGAAGGAACTCATTTTATAGAACACAGAATTATGGAATTGGGATGGATGCCAAAGAAATCACTCTGTGGGCCTCTATTTTTAAAGCAAATTACCCCAGACTGAAGAAACTCTATCTAGTTTTCAAAAGACTGCAGCTCGCACAATGAATCATCCCAACATTTAGAAGCCCTTACTCGTAGGACACTTTCTTTCCGGCCTCTCCTGGATGGTGGGGAAATTGATGACACAATTCTGCTCAGACACAGAAAAAGCTTCCAAGTTTCCCAAAGTGAAGAAAAGAAAAAGTGGGAGAAAAACAGAGAAAGAGGGGAGAAAAGTTCCAGACAGATGACCAGCTGCTGAGGCTGCAATACACTTTTTGGTGTCAGATATTTATCTTCTGCTCTGAAGGTCTTTTTTGTTTTTTTTTTTTTTCTTCTCCCAAGGATATGGAAACAGGGCCTAGCAACAGGGAGGTTAGTGAAAGGTTTTTGTTCTACAGTGCGCTGAAATTATTTCCTTATGGCTAAAGAAAGGCAGCCTATTCTTTTGCTAAAAAAATAAATAAATAAAGGAGCATGTGTAACTGTGTGGAGAAGAATACTTAGGTTTGGTAATTTCCTTTAAAAAAAATTTTAACTTACTCTGAATGAATACAGTAGCTTTATATAAAAGATTGTCAACCAAATATGTAGTCCTGGATATTTTAGCCCCATGGACTTCAACTTTCTGGATTAAGGCCAAATGAGAATATCTTCCTTATGGGTTAAGAAGGAATGGTCTGAGCTATTTATTTTAGCTATATAGATGTATGCATGATTTTTGTTTAAGGCAGCCACATTCTACTTTAATCAGTGTGAGAACTCTGATTAGGACTTAAGATGGCATATTTTCATTTAATATTTTAGATGGTCCTTTTTTCTTCTGGGGAATGAACAGTTCAACTAAAACAGAAAAGCCACACTGTGTTTTCTTTAGGTCACAGCTCAATAACCTCAGGAGCAACTTACTCTTTCTCCTTTGGGACCTGCGGGGCCATGGGGTCCCATAGGGCCATCTGTACCCTAAAAAAAAGAGATAAAAATAAGATAATATGAGACATATCCCAAAGGCCATAAGTAAAGCAGTTATAACTCATCCTGGACTTTTCCTGGGTGAATGACGCCTTGAACGCAAGTAAGACGACTCATCTGCTTTCAAAGAGCTCCATACTTGATTCTTTCAGGCCAGCGGTTTCCAAGAAACTCATGCAGAAAGGATGAGTTATGTAACTGCGTATTTCAACGAAGGGCACACGCGAGAAGATCGAAGTCGGATTTAATTATATACCTCCTCCCTGACTTCACGGAACATCTTCAGGAGAGAAACGGAGTCGTTTTCCCCTCATACCACTTCCCCAAGTCCATTCTCCACCCACTGTCACCCCCATGCTCCTGGGCCACGAATCTTTGTTTTCAGCTGGTTAAGAGGCTTGAATGGTTACACAAGTGGAAAAAAATATGAAATAACCGAGTACAGTATTGAACTGTCCAAACCAAACTTCCTTCGGCTCTGCGGGGAGCAGCGGGGGGCTTAGAGGAAAGGAGTGATTCTCAGAGGCTCTGCTGCTGCTTACAAGACACAAACCCGGCAGTCGGCTGATTTAATGGTGTAATTGCCCCCTGGCCTCCTGATTCAGGATTAGGATTTCTGTCTCAGACTGAATGGACATGGGAACACTAGGCCCAGCGAAAACACTGACTGCCTGAAGCAGGTTTTTAGAATTGAAGAGCTTGGAATTTCTTTTTGATTCTTAGACATGTAGCAAGGACTTCAAGTAATTTGCTCATTTTCAGGAAGACTGCACTTATTTGCAAAGAATTTGTTCTAATATTTGCAAACAGGAACTCTTCCAGCACAGGTTTTTTAACATAGTATTCCTATTTATGTTCTAGTCTTCTTTTTTTCTTCTATCAGAGCTTTGCGATATGAAATCATTTAGGGCTTCAACTCATTCTGATGTTGGTGAATTCTCATCCTCTTATCTGATCTTTTTCTTACTGCCTGAACTCCCAAGTTCATCTTCAGAAGACTTCTAAATACTGATTATCTGTGGCTGATATTTAAGAGATGGGGCTGTTAAGAACCAAAGAAAAGAGACAAAATGACAGAAGACAGACAGGTCTTTCGATGAACAGATATCTGAAAGTTAGTGTCAAGGAAGAACTTACCTTTTTAATATGGACAGAAACATAAAAGGAAGAGCAAAGTTAAATAAATTCACATTATTTTGATCCCCTCAGAGGATCCTGCTCATGGAACTATAGGAAATGTCCATTAGTTCCAGAAAAATTTGTCTGGGCTTCTAAGATAGTGAGGCTAATCAAATCAGACTGGTCATTCTTGCCACCTAGCAAGTTCTCCAGCCTGGAACTCGGGCTTCCGAAGGATGTCCTGCAGTTTAGGCTGTGAGTCAATCAGAGCTGCAGCCTCTGTTCTGCCCACCTTTCCCTTTTGTACCACATCTTTGTACACCTTCTCCTTTCACTCCAGTCTTATGTTCCCCTCATCACGTGATGGGAGTACATGGGGCAAAAGAGTCTGTCCCGAAGCACAAATTCATAGCCACAAAACATGTTGGAGCAAGATGAGGTACTGACTCACCCGGGATCCTGGCTTTCCGTCTAAGCCAGATGCTCCCTGTGTATTTGGTTGGTAGCAGGGTTGGTGGGTATGACACGAAGGACAAGAACAGAGATTAGTATGAGGTACTGATGAACAAATGTAACGCTTCAAACAACATCATACACAGTCACGGGGTTCTGGGATGAATATCACATCGCTACAAATTGTTAGTTTAAAAAAAAGAAACAAAACACGTGACAATAAACACCCCACAGATGATGGTATTTTAATGACATTTCCATTCGACCAATTCTTGTTTAGAAATCAAGATAATGAGGTTTATAAAGCGGGCTTTAAAGTAGTTACTGGTAACATTCACAGACTGCTAATTTCCATATGATACACATTTTCTAAAGAGTGTACTGTTGACAATAAACTTCTTTAGGTTTTGAAAAAACATAATGGCTGATATTTTAAGAAAGGGCTCATTATAATAATCAATCAAAGTTAGCATTTCAGAGGAGAAGAAAAAGGCTCTAGTTTTTCTTGTTAAAACAGCACTTATGAATAACAACTGCAGAATTTCACCATGCCAAGATGACTGTGGATTTTACATGAACAATTCTCATTGTTTTCTGGGTTTTCTTACTGTTTTCACATTAGTTACCACTAGAGGGACTTCTAGGAACAGGAAAAAGCAGGAAAAAAATTTCATGAGTCCCCACAATAAATAACTGTCCCAAACAAAATTGTTCCTCAATTCACTTCAAACAATCATTGCATCAAAGTCTGAAGGGGAGATGCTTTAAAAATATAATGTTATTCTCAGGCAATGCATGCTTTTTTTTTTTTTTTACCTTGAACTCCAAGCTATGCATAGTGTATGATTAAAATATGACATTTTCAGTGCTTGTTTCAAGAATAAGCACAATTACTTCTTTGAATATGTCTTTTGTATCTCAAAACTCAAATACTGATTTATAGTCCTTTAAAAATATTGATTAAATCAAGGAGTATTTAAGAAAGACGATACACTAGCCCTATAAATTCTCCTGGCAAGGTTGAAGAACTACGTTCCCATTTTATGCTTCAGATACAGTTAATAATAAAAAATGGAAGAAAAAATCTATTCCAGCTGCAAACTCTACCAATAATGCTATACTATATATACTTGGATGTTTTTAGTTTTTTATCTTACAATTTCTTCTGTATAGTTCTATTACGAGTCAGACTGTAATTGCAAAATGCATCTTTAGTTAGCAATGATGAAAATTTTTAAAAATCTGTGTAGTGCTTAATGCTAACATATGTAGAGCTTTTGGCTAAATATTGCATAGAAATTATCACTAGCTCTAAATATGAAATTAGGGCAAACTTTAATGAAATCAGATTGAGGGTTTAATAAAACAGAAACCCAAACTTCCTTTTGCCTTTTGATACTTTGTTCAGAGTCACCATTGTTATAACATTTAAAAACAAATAGGGAGATGGTAAAATTTTGTACTGATAGTATAACATTATATTTGTTTGGAATGTGAATTAATGACTCACATATATTATAGAGGTATTGTGCCTCTAGTCCATGGTCTAATTGGTGTGATTTAACCTATACTCTAATACAAGGTTTATATCATTCATTCATAAACAAGTACATATTGAGCATCTACTACGTGCCTGATCTATGTAAGGCACTGTCTATCGAGTAGAATGCTTTAGAACTTAAAGTACCAACATTTTTTAATATGTTAAAATATGTGTATAAACTATTTTCTACCAATTTTATGTCTTATTTTAATAATGTAATTTATAATGTTCTTTACTGACTTTTATGTATATTCACTGAATAGTCAGCATGTTAAAACCTTGAAACTAAAACCTCATATTTAACAATCATTTTTAAAAATCTCTTTTTAGTTATAGAAAGAAGACTGGCATAAAGTACACAGAAGATGAAAATTCCCTCTTCACTAAAAATAAAAATCTCAAAAAATAAAAAATCTCAAAAAAAATCTCAAAACTACTGCAAAATCTTCTTCCATCCTGTCCACTGTTGCCAAAAGAACCAGGTAAGAGGGCATTTTCAAAACAAACAACACAAAACGTTTAGACCATGATATGATTGATTAATGTAAGGAGCCACAGCACTGACCTCACGCCATCAGCAATGGCCAATTGCATACCTGCCACCCAACAGAAGGCTACAATTTTTGGTATCAAACGAGAAAAAAAACCGAAGGAGGATTCTGAACTGCACTAAATTATTAAAACATTTGGGAGAAATTATGACATAATCAGCACAATGCTTTTTTTTAAGGGCAGGGTGATGGGAGAAGAATCATCTGTCTTTAAAGAGGAAGGCTGGCATGTATGTAATTGAATGACAGAACACATAGCATCGTTGGTCATGGGGTCTTCCTCTGACACAAGAGCAGGCATCAAACAAAACTGGGCTGAGCTCTGCTCTAATAGAATATGTTTTCCAGTCACAGAAATCTCAAATGTAAGATAGTCACTGAGTAAACCAGAGTTGTTACTTAGGGTAGAAAGAAAAGTCTGAGATTTGCACTGAAATGGAAAGTTTTCTTTACTTACTGGAAGACCAAGGGGTCCTCTGTCACCCTTTTGACCTGGTTCACCCTTCAATCCTTTAACACCATTTAACCCTGGTTCACCCTAAATGCAAAAGCAAATGCCAATTTTGGTTGCTATCATGGGTGTTTCAACTGTGAAAGAAGAGAGCCAGTCTCTGAAATGGTTGCAGATTCCAGTTCTAGGTAACAGCAGAGTCAGGCTAGACTTGTCTTGCATCCATTCAAAATTCATTTCAGACATTTAAAAAAAATTAATAAACTGAAATTGACAAATAATATTCTAGAAGCAAAACTCCTGAGCAAGTGTACTCTTTACAACTGAAATGCATATGACTGAGTTCCACAGTTTTCAGTTCTGTATCAGAGAAACTGGTGTTATGCTACCTTGTTCTCACCAAGCAAATCAAAGACAAGAGTGGAGGATGCCGCAGGAGGTTCAGTAGGAAAAACCCACTCTGCTGGAATGAAAAACTGGAATATGCAGGACAGTGTTATATACAGATATTTTAAGCCTTTAAGCATTTTGCCCTGGGGAATGAGCTAAAAATGTAGCAGCTGATGTTTGAAGTAGTGCCATTTAGTGAGTCCTCATTCGCTGACATTGCCAAGTCAGATCCCTACATGGATTAATCCACAGAATAGACAACAAATAGCTAACCCCAGAAGAGAATATGAAGACCACAGTGCTTAAATGTAATTTTACTAACTGTATTTCTATCCAATGTTAAAATAAAGAAGGATGGAATTTAACCTCAGGTGACATTACAAAAGTCAAGGAAAGTGAGAAATTCTCTTGACTCTGATATTTAAAAACCTAAGAATACAGTACAACTATTTTCTATCAGAAGCAACATGTTAGGAATAAGAGTTCTGACCTGTCCACTTTTCAACTTTTAAGTAAAGGCATTAATTTCATCACAAAAGTCTGGAAAGATTTGTGAAAGGAAGATGCAGTCTCAAATGCCCTATAGAGTCTTGCTGGGTAGGAGTGGGAGCAGGGAGAGAGTGTGCTTCCGTGGCAGGAGGAATTACTAACCTCAGCAGTATTTTCCCCATTTGTCTGACTGATGAAAGTCAGTGTGATGTTTGTTAAACATAGAGTCCAGGGGCCCACTTAGTGTTGAACTTCCAAAGGGGTCACAAAGTAATGAACACATTGGCATGACCTAGTGGTTTCTGGGGATTCTGAAGGTAGGATGTTTGCTGTGCGACCACTATAGGAAGTCCAAATGTGCTGTGGTGGGTAAAGTGTGATCCTGGGAATGTCCCAGAACTTAAGTCAATGTGAGGTTAAGACCAAGGCTCAAGAGTCAGCTTTAGTTAACCGGTCTCAACTTGAGACTGATGGCTTTGCCTGTGTGTGGACTTTCCGCCAGAGGTCTTGCAGTGATGAACAGACAGGGCTGCCTTGGTAGGTCATGAAATTCTGTGGTGAGGAATCATACATTGATACAAGTGGGCATTAACTGAGAAGGTGAATTTATAAACAATCAAATGTAGTGGCAGAAAGACCAAATTCTAACTCTGGACCTAAGTTCCAGTCCCAGATCAGTCATTTAATTAGCAGTGTAATTCAGGGCAAATAATCTAAACTTCATGGGCCTATAGTTTACCATCTGTAAAATCAAGGAATGAGCACAGGTAATCTATAAGGTCTTTTCAACTTTATAATTTTCTGAAATCTATGATTTAAGTGGTACCTTGAAATCCAAGGAGAAGCCTAGAGTAGGAACTACTGATTTAGTCCAGAGTAGGGAAAAGAGACCCAGAGAGGTTTAGATAACTATCAAGACCACAAAGCTGATAGATGGGCCCTCTCTTCTGAGCCCCAGAAAACAATGCCCTTACCCCAAACTATAATCCATACTTCTGAGACTTTGTCACTCACTGCCCTTACCAGAAGATAGGGTGTTCTATGAAGAGGCATGAACTCTTCCCATTCTTGAGTGAGTCACCTGCCTGACCCCAAAAATGAAACTTAGTTTTCCGGGGTAAGACCAATACTTCTACACTCCTAAAGTTGGGTGGGCCAGGGGAAGCCTAAGCTTTCTCATTTCTAGCTCTTGCATTTATGTGTTCCCCTACCCCTCACCATTTAAACGCACCAGCTCACTCCTGAGGAGCTTTCAAGAGTGCTTGAACCTTCTCTCATGCATTTTTCCCCTTGAATTCTTAAATTCAGAACAAAGCATAAAATCACAAGATACTAACAACTGACATTTATTGGGTGTTTATCGACAACTGCACCAGATATTTTGCTTAAGTATCTTATAAATATACCTCATTAAATTATCACAACACTAGGAGGTAAGTTGCCTAGTTGAGTAAGCAAAGGATCAGAGCAGGTAAATAGTCTGCCCAAGGTGACACAGCCTATCAGTGTCAAAGCTGAGATTAGAACATAGGTACTCATTACATATGCTCTCTAGAAGAAGGAAACTTTCTTTCAGGGCTCATTTTAACCTTCCAAAATGTCTTCTTGGTCTACACAAAAGCAAAGAACAGGTGCAAACCGTCTTTACAACATAAACTGCACTAATTCTGACAAGGAGGGGTATTCTCTATTGTTTTCTTGTTAATCCAAAGTATAAAATACATGTAAGTGATGTAATCTTCTCTTCACTAGGGCACACCTGATCCACCCCACCCCATTCTAGACCAGTGATCTCTGGGGGAGTACAAAATTAAGATGTTGGATAGTCAAAGCATTTAGATGCAGTACTGTTATATGACAAACAAGGAGTATCAGTAACATCTGAATCTGCAACTAATGATACATAATAAGAAAGAGCATCTGGACTAGTCTGAGAATCTCATCAGATTCACTTCTAAATGGTTGATTTTGAGTATATTATGATTAGTAACTTAAGAAACCACAGTGTCATGGAAAAAGGCAAAATGAGGAATAATTCATCTCCAGGTGATATCACTTAAATTTGTTGTAAGTCATTCTGTGTTGTGAGATTTAAACATCTGGATACTTAAAGGCTTAAAGATTATCAACATTACTTGACAGATAAATAAGACAGGACAGACATGCTTCCGTCATGCTTCTCCATGATTAACAAGGAAACAGAAATCAAATAATCAAGGGATTTTTTTGGATTACCTTTGGTCCAGGAAGTCCATGGGGTCCCTGAAAATGAAAAACACAGATTTTAATTAAGAATTGATTCACTATTTCCTAGCAGAAGTGATTATTGCATAGCGTAACCAAAGAGATGTATAACAAGAATCCTCCTGTTTGAGATATAGCTAGAGGCAGGCCAGTGGATGCTATCACCTAGTGAAAATTCCTTCTAACTCTTGGATTGTTCTGTAATTGGAAATTCACTAACAGCAATTCTTTCTGCTAAATACCTGTGAGAGGGAGGGAGAAATCTGCCAGGGTTATATGGAAGAAAAATATTTTTTTAAAGTACTGTGAACCTACACTACTCATATTTCTCAAATCCACATTTTTATAAAATCTAGGTGGAAAATGTGAAACATGTTATGAGTTTATATGGAATAGAGGTAGGTCTTAAAATACAGAAATTTGCCAAAGAAAAGTTCCAAACTTTAAGTATGGGTCAAGAGGAGACCTTTTAAATTATTGAGTCCTCTAGGCCCAAAAGGAATCTAAAGGAAGAAGGAAATGAGGAGATGACAGTCAAGTTTGGAGCCCTGTTGCAATTTAGTTAATTAAATTAATTTAATTTAAGACTAAGGAAAGTATTCTAATACAGGAGCACTAAGCATTATTATTTAGAATGCATTTGTTCTTACAAAGATGAATTCTGCAAGGCTCTCGTAATAGTTGTTTACCAGTGGAAAGAAGTTATAACGCATAAATGAATCAGGGTTTTTCCCCTGTATTTTGTGGAAAATCTAACTATAGAGACTAATTTCCAACCTAAATTAGCTTAAGCTTATTATGGATTGCTTTAAACTTTTCAAGTGATTTAAATGAACTCTTTGGAGAGAGGAATATTTAAACACCCAACAGCGAAATCATACAGCAGTACAAAAAACTTTTTTTATCAAACAATATACAGATATTTGTTACATATGTCTATATTGGAATAATATTTTCCCTTTAGGTAAGTGGTGGATAAGCATTTTCAGGAAATGGCTGTTATTTTATCAAGTAGTCTTATTTCAGTAATGGTGTAACATCCCTTTAAACTAATTAATTTTATATGAACAGGATATAGCATTTTAAAATTTAATTTCCTAACTTAAAGTGGAGGGAGTATAAAAAAAAAGCCCAAAGTATGCCATTTACTGAATTCTTAATGAATTGTTTAGTTTTAAGAAAATAAGCTTAATTATAACTGTTTTGTGGTATGAAATCGAAATGGCAGTTAGTAAGAAATAGATGATTGGGTCTACGGCTATGCTTTGTGGCGTAGGTCATTTCAGTGATGCTCTTTCTTAGAGCACAATAGGAGGAAAGAGCGACCCATGGTTTATTTAATCTGTATGATTGAAGACATGGGGTTTATTGAGATACCTTAGAGATGAATGTGACCTTAGAGGCTACCTAACTTGTCTGAGTCCTGCCCCAGCCAAAGGCATTTGAAGCACTCTGCCTTCTACGTTCTAGCTTTAACACTAGTGCCATTGGGTGGACATTTTAAGAATTACACCGGTTTAAGGGCTGCCTTCAGCACCTGACATGAGTTCTATGAGAGCATGGCCATTGACTCTATTGGTCACTGAGGGATACTTGTAGTAAACACTGGATCCACCAGAGTACCATAAAAATGAAAAGAAAAAGAAGCAACAAGATATGTCATCTGTGGAAGTGAGCTTCAATTTTTACCATATTATTTTATAAGTGTTCCTATCAAACATCTCATTAAAGGATTTCAACCAAAGTTGGTTAGACACATTCATTAATGGCTACAATTATTAATCTTGTTATGCTGCTAATGGCCTAAACTGGTTGGTTAAGATGATTTTTTGATGTTCATACTGTAGGTTGGAGTAAAGCTTGTTAAATCTACCTTCAAGTCTCCTATCACAAAACTACTCTATCTCTTTTCAAGAGATGTGTTTGGGGGAGTGAAAGAACAACACTATAAAGTCAGTATATCTCAAAGCACCTCGTATTTTCTGTCTATTCCAGAGAATAGCACAAAATACAAACTGGCTGTTTTGAGGGATGTGTTCTTGTTTTTTTCTAGTAGGATGCTTGTAAATAAATGATTACATTTGGTAGAGAAAAAAGGCTTACCATAGGGCCTGGTGGGCCATGGGGGCCTGGTGGGCCTGGTGGGCCTATTATCTGTATGTCCAAAACATAAACATGGATTTGGTTACTTCATTTAGATAAGGCAGTTTGGCTTGAATCTTATGCTGGCGTTCTGCTAAGGCCATTAATAGCTGCAGTGGAAGAATACTAGAAGAAGTGACGCATTTGATTCTTTACCTTTAGAAATTCCTTCATGAGAATAAAAAAAAAAACACTAAAAAAATACGGTCTTTTTACAAAAACTAGAATAAATTTAAAGTACATTAAAAGAAAAGAGAGCAACTGATTACCAAGAAATGCTATAATACCACAATCACTATTAAACTCTCAAATTATTTCACTGAGTAGCAAAAGGGCTCTGGAGAAAAAAAAAAAACATATGTTCTGTATTCACAAAGCTCTACCCAAAAGCATTATGGGAAAACCATTGATTTTCTCCTTATGATTAAAGAGTCCCCTAAAAAACTGCTTTTAACTCAGACCTCTGAGACATTTTGTCTCTCATTGTACAAGGCCGACAGACATATTCTCTACAGTTTGACAAACTAAGAGGTTCATGGTCTTTCTACTGTTGATAAGCCCTCTGGCACAGGTTGAACTGGTAAATAAAAGGTCTGTTTCAGAGTTCTTTAGGAACCATGGAATTTCAGCTGCCATGGACTTACGGAAGGACCCTGAGGACCTGGCAATCCGGAGTCTCCTTTTTCTCCTTTCATTCCATTGGCACCCTACAAATAACCAGTAAGAGTTGAGATGGTAAAGTTGTTCCCAAAGTGTAAGACCAATCATTCTTTCAAAATTTTTATAACATTATATACATGATATATAAAAGAAGGATTTATCCCCTTGCATTTTAGCCTCAAACAGCAAGCTTCTCCAAATCTCTAGGATTGTGGGTGATATGTGAAATAAAATATAAAGTGAATAAAAACTAGGGTAGGTTTGATTGGTTAAACTTATACATTGTTAAATATGTCAGATTATAAATGTTGTATTTCTTATGATGGTGCTCACTTTAAATAGCAAAGGTCAGTCTTTTAACTTAGTTTTCACTGACATTTATTTATACACTTCCTTGCTTTAAAATAGATCTAGGGCAGTGCAGTTTTCTACATTTTTTTCTATTTTTCCTTCCAAATTCTCAGTAAAAATTATGGGGTAAAACCATAAAAACACCATTCCATACACACAAAGAGAACACTTTCAAGAGTAACTTGTTTTTAAATTGTTCTATATTTTTTAGTTTATTTAAAAATGACCAGCTACCACCATTCTATGCATACCAAACTAAAGTGATCAACTATATTTATTTTACTATCTTCTGATGAAAATAATTCAGGAAAACATGAAGCTTTATCTTATAATTCATTTGGTTAGATGCTTTAAAACTTGTTTTAGTGGCCCAGTTGGAGTAATTTACCAACAATACCTCAAATATTTAAAAATAAAAATATTACATTTTTATGTAATATTAACCACTAGATGAGACTGCAGCTAGTCATATAACTCTTTTTTGATTATTTAATTTATCTTAATATGAACACAACTTAAAAAAGTATAAACATACCGGTAATCCAGGAAGTCCAATTCCTCCTTTTTCACCTGGCATACCTGGGTCCCCCATGTCTCCCTTTGAGCCTTTAAGTCCCTACAAATGATATGGTTTGCATGTAAGAATCATACTGACCCTTGATAGTAACATCCTAGGGAAAACAGAATTCCAGATCAGTTTTGTCAGTTGGTGGTCCTATGCTGAGATGATTCTGATTTTTACTATTAGGTAGTGTTATTTCTTATAGCAACCTTCTACATTGAATCAATACTATTTCCTCATGTAATGAGAGGGGTTAAGTTCTACTACATAGGTCATTTAAGTATGAAAATCATGAATTTAGGTGTTAACATAATTTCTCCTGATTCTATATTTTTACCTGGCAGCTAATTCGATACCACTTGTCCTGAAATAATTTAAGGGATTAAATTCTCAGCAGGACAATGTGCATTTTGAACCAGGACTAATGTTATAATAACAAAGGTTCCAATAAATTTCTCCCATCTCTATCCATGATACTTCCCTATCCCTCTTAAAAACAGGCAGAAGTTCCAGTCACCATCAGTTTCAATGGTTCAATATAGAGAAAGGTAAATGATGTAGGCACAATCATTAGGTACCTAGTCATTAGGCACCAGTGCTCAATTAAGTTTAGAAACACTTCAACTTTTCCACAGTGTTATTTTATTCTCATGACATCCCTGTGAGGTGATCCATGATGTTATTTTTATTCTTTTACAGTGAGGAAATGGATGTATTTTTTGAGTGCTGGCAAATCTGAATTTTGTAGTAATAATAATACTGAAGTTAATTTATATTGTTAAGCATTTTCATCCAAGGGGCTTCACTATCCTCCGACCAGATGGCCCATTCTTGAGCAGGGATGATCATAGTTTTGATAGTCAGGGGCCCCTGGCTGCACAAACCTGTTCATCTTTTCCATACTACAAACTACTTAAGGACAGGAACATGTCTTGTCTTTACTTTTACCTATAGCACTTAGTTCAGAATCACTTGCTAGGTGGGTGGGTGGGTAGGTGTCTGAATGGGTAGATGGATCTTACTGGTTAATCAGCTCCTGGTTGGTTTTAGGAATCTAGTGATGGAGAGCAGCAGGGTAGCCAACCTCTGCTATTAGACTTAATAGCAGAAGAAGACCTTGTGAGGCTTATAGAAAAAAAAAATCCAGCTATTGTGTATGTAGGGACCATGTAGTATGTTACTCTGCATGTCAAATTAATTATTTTTAATGACTAACATTGGGAAAGGAATACAACTAGTTTTTCTTTGTATTCTCTTTAAGAGAGAGAGAGAAAGAGAGAGAGAACATGAGTGGGAGAGGTACCGGGGGAGGGAGAGAGAATCCCAAGCAGACTCCCAAGCTGAGTGTAGAGCCCAATGCAGGGCTCTATTTTAGGACCCTTAGATTATGACCTGAGCTGAAACCAAGAGTCGGACGTTTAAACAATTGTGCCACCCAGGTGCTCTAATACAACCAGATTTTTAAATTCTAATGTGATTTCTGATTAATAATAGCAAATCATCTAAAGTCTCTTAATGTTTTAATTATCACATTTATTTAATGTGACATTATAGGATTTCAACATTTAACTCTGATAGTAAAATAACTCTTAAACTTAATTTCTTTTTTTTATTTTATTATGTTATGTTAATCACCATACATTACATCATCAGTCTTAAACTTAATTTCTTATCTAATACTGTCTCCTGAGGAGCATATTTTGCCAACTATATCAAGAATCCTTTTGATTTCTTATGATCTTTTTTTTTTAAGATTTTATTTATTTATTTAACAGGGAGAGACACAGTGAGAGAAGGAACACAAGCAGGGGGAGTGGGAGAAGGAGAATCAGGCTTCCCATTGAGGAGGAAGCCAGATGCAGGGCTTGATCCCAGGACCCTGGGATCATGACCCGAGCTGAAGGCAGACGCTTAACGACTGAGCCACCCAGGTGCCCCTGATCTTCCTAATTTTAGCCATTTCTTGGGTGAATAATGGAAGCCCAGAAAACATCAAATATCTTGAAGCTAACCATTGTGATTTGACTCTGAGTTCCCCATAGTGTCCACATTCTCCTAGTCAGATTCTTTTTGGGCAGAGGTAAACTACAACTTCTAGGCCAAATCCAGCCCAGGGATTATTTTTGCACAGCCTGAATCTTTGAAAAAATTTTAAGGGGTGTTCAGATAAAAAACAAACGTGACAAAGACTCTATGTGACCTGCAAAGCCTAAAACATTTACTGTCTGGTCCTTTATAGAAAAAGATGGCCAACCTCTGTTTTAAGGGAAACCTTTGGAGATACTGCCATATTCTGTGAAGGTACAAATACCCCACTTGTTTTTGTTTTTTCCCAATGATCTTGAAATTTAGGTGTAATCTTTATTTGGGAAAAAATATTGTCAAAATACATATATAAGCAATATCTAATTTTGTGGAAACTTTGATCGACTGATTTTAATCTTGAATGATTTGTATTCACTGACAAAAATTAGCCTATTCTTACTAAATTGGTAATGATCTTACAAGTCTAATAAAAATTTACTGAAGTGTCACTGCTACGTAGATTGATAAGGAGTATTAAGACAAAACTAAAATGTCATTATCGCTTATATGCTTCTGCAAAGAAAACTAATGTCTAATTTAAAACCAATTGCTTTTTAGAGTTAATGTAATCTCTACAACAGATGGTGAAAAAAGAGGGAGGATATCATATATCAACACTCATGTCTTTTTGGCTTCAAATCTATAATAAAAGTGGTGATCAATTATGATGCTTTAAATGACAGTATGTATCTTTGAAAATTACCTGCTCTCCATCAACTCCTGGGATTCCTGGAGATCCTGGTTCTCCCTGTTAATATAAAAAGTGATGGCTTGCCTCCATTTATCATTGGTAAATGAATAAAGTCATGTTACCTGGTGACAGTACAATTTGACTTTCAGCAAATGCATCAGAACCCAGGAACAGTTCGTTACATCATACACATATCAAAACTAAGTGAAATAACATTTTCTTGAAGATTATATATAACAATACTTATAAGTAGCTAAGATCCAATGTTTTTATTTTTTGCCCCAAGTGAGATGTAGGCTAAAGGAAAAAATGGTGAAAGAAAAACTGATAGAGATTATTTGGTGGCTGATCATATTCTATAAAAACAACCTATATGCCTTAGTTAATTTTTTTCTCCTTAAAAAATCTGTATGATTTCTCTTCATTTTCCAACTTGAGAAAAAGGCAAAAACATGACAGTTGACTAAGAACAGAATGCAAAGCCCCATAAGTTTAAAATATTTTAACTGATACCATTTGAACAATGGATACAGGTTCATGATTGTGAATGTGTATTTACAGATAGAATCAATCAGATAATATCTTAATCCACATAAAGTTACTTTTGGATCGATTCAATTACCTATACTATGCTAGGAATGAATTAAAGTTTACTATTCATATGATTTATTAGAAACCTCGACAAACCCAAAGTCTATTTATTTTTTCTTACCTGAAGATGTTCCATTAAAAACAAATGTAACAATGTGCTAGATATTTATTCAAACAACAAATGCCCAGTCACTTTTCATTTGGAAAGGTGCTGAACAAACAAATTCTTTGAAAGGTAAGATATTATTTTAGATCAATGCATCACTTTTGTAGATCCCATTATATTGAAATTGTTAGAGATCATTTCCCTGGTAAAAACTGTAAGTTACCAGCCACAGCAGGAAATTTGAGCTTTCCAATGTTTAAAGAAAGCCTGACAAATGCAAAAAAAAAAAGAAAAAAAAGAAAAGAAAAAAAGGAAAAGCCCTTCCTTACTCCTGATTTCCGGTTCTTTGTGGTAGCAGCAAAGTTTATTTTGCCACAAACAAGTCTGCTGAGGTTGGATGCACCTGGCTAAGACCTAGTTTCATTCAGTCTGAATACATGTTAGCACTCTGGGTCCAATAATGATTGTTTTGCTAAGCTTTTACCTTCAAAATGTGACTAAAAAAGAGGGAGGATATCATATATCAACACTCATGTCTTTTTGGCATGAGTGTTTAAAAGAAAACGTAACTCATGACTTATGAATTTATCTTTCACTCATCAAATGTAGTTTGCAGAGTTACTTGATGTGTAAGAAGTCAACTGATCCTGGTTTGATAAAGGAAAGAGAAACACTGATGGAACAGGTTCCCATTCAGTCTGAGGTTGTAAGTCCCTGGTGCAAATGGGTTCTATATTTGACTCAGGCTGCATTTGCTGATTCTTGGCCATAGGCACATTGCCCCTCAATTATCCCAACCTTCCCGAGGAGAGATCATGGAAAGCTTGAAAGACTGTATCAGTCAGTCCAAGAGCTCAATTATGAGATCACTGTGCCTTGTGTGGGGTGGGGCAGAGTGGTCGCATAGTAGGAAGGCTGGCAGGGGTGCGAGGTAAAGGAGTCTGACTGATACTCTCCCACAATCCACTTGTCATGACATTCATTTGGCCAGCGTCCTCCTATCTCAGTTTCAGCCCAAAAGTCATCCTTGATTCCCAAGACTGAGAGTAGCCTTCCCATATGCACATCCATAGCATGTATTCTTCATCAAAGAAGTGCCTTTACTTGCCCATCAAAAGGGTAATCTTTTTGTCTCTTTAGGACAAGGGATGGGTACCCTTTGGAATTGTGTAGATCCTTTGTGCTTTAAAGAAGGGTAAAGTCCTAGAAGCTTTTGAGGTGTGTTTAGCACTGAGGCCAATTTTGGTTCTGGAGACTTCCTCAAGTGAGGAGAAGAACAAGGAACTTAGATCCTAGTTGACTCTACACAGATGAAAAAGGAATCTGCAGATTTCCTTCTTGGTTGTCTAATCCAGCTCACCAAGATATTAGAGAGTAGGGATCCAGGCTGACTTGCTTACCAGGAACAAATAACTGGAGGATTTTTGTGTTACATTTCTTAGGGACCAGAATGTGATAGAGAAATAGAAAGTTAAAAAACCCTAAACCTTACATTTATGTTGTACATGAGATCTGTTTGAAATTAGGCTCCATGTTCTAAATATATCTTACATGGGTAAGGACCTCAGCAATATTTTACTTTATACTCCTTTTTATAATAGAAACAGAACTTTCTATGGGCTAGCTTTCTGTTTTTAAGTATCTTGAAAGAGAAGGGTACAAAAGCTGGTGTGTGTGTGTGTGTGTGTGTGTGTATGACAGACTTAGCAAATAAACTGCCTTAAAAGGTACCAACAAAAGATGAATTTCAAAACTACTTGAATCTCCAACAGAACTCCAATGATTAAAGTCATATTTCAACAAACATAGCTCAGTTCTGAAAGGCTAGAGACATGGCCATGTGTTAGTTGCTCAAATGTGGTTAGACAACTAAGTTTAAGTTTAATAAATAATAAATTTGAAATATAATCAAGTAATTCTAATTTTCTGCTATTCATAGGTGCTATGTTTCATTAGATAAGATTTAAATGGCAGAATGTCTGAATAAATATAATAGGATATGTTATAAAAAATGACTCAAAAACGATTTCTCCAATCGTCATCTGTGAATACATCATGCTAAAGCTTCTCTTGTTCTTTTTATTACAAATGAATTGAAGGGAAAAATCTTTTTTAGTGTTAGAGTAAATTTTCCTTCAATCCTCCTCTATAGAAATATTTTCCTTTATTCATACACTACATTTAGTGGTTATTTTACCTTTATAATTTCTGTAAAACTTGTTTTTCCCTTGTTTAATATTCTGTTTTTCTCAGCGTCCTCCCTCTAAATTTAATGTTACTTCTCTCCCTTCTTTTCTAATTTTCCTTTTTTTTTCAATCCTGCTTCCTTCAGCCCAGATCTCAATGTTTATTCATCGCTGCCTTAAGCAATACTGTGATCTCAGCTCCTTCAGCATTTTGTAAGAAGGATTTTTCAAAGATACATATATTTAAGGTGGGATTCTCTATACCATATATGGTAAATGGAAACAAGTAAAATAAAGAATAACCTTTGGCCCTTGTAGTCCTTGAGGTCCAGGTGGTCCAGGGGGACCCTAAATCAAAAAAAGACAAAGTTATAAAAAGTAGCAAGTATATGTATTGCAATTTGTGCTTTAAATAATAAGTACACTATATACTTCCCTTATTTCTGTTATAATCAAATGTCCCCCAATATTAATTTGCAATGAGGACAAATTTCACCAGCTATGGAATTATAAAAATGACCTACTTATATGCAAAAATATCAATACATTTAGGTAAAATAACACTGAAGATGCTTTTGAGTTTATTCTATAAGATAACGCAAAATTGCTGCTGTGTCCCACATTCATCTCCTTGGGATGAGTTAGCTTACTAATATTACCTGTGTTTCTAGACACCTGGCTTCCCCCACACACACAAGGGATTTGATTTCTCAAACACTAAGGAACAAAGCTATATTATTATAAGGCCAAAGATTTTAAGAGAAGTAACAATAACTTTTTTTTGGTCTTTTTCACTAAGCAAACAAATGATTTAATTGGGGTAAATGTTATAAAAGGTTATTAATATAAGGAAGCATAAAACTAAAATATCAGACAAAAACAAGTGCTGCATTAGTACCATTATGACTGGCATGCATCAACACCAAATACGAAGTCACAGACCACAGAAATCATGCAACGGGAGTTACCGTGACAGTTAGGGTGGTAATCCTCTGTTGGGAAAATGTATTGACAAAGACAGAGTTACCTATTTTGTGTGCTAAAGTACAATAATACATTTCTGAAAAAATCAATTTTTGAATATGTTCTGGCAAGTGTGATGTCTTATAAGAGACTGACAAGATACTGAAAACATATTATCCTATCTTTAAATGAATATAGTATAGTTGTAAAGATTTTGGGGGGAGCAGGGGTCAGAATGCCATTCATCACCTGATAAGACTGTTTTTTAAACTATTTTTAGATTTTTCTTTAAAAAATCTATGTGTAAAGAAAAACGAAAATGTCAAAATTTTAATTCACCTGATTAAAAAAATTTATGTAGTAAAATGGTGTACTGTAGAGCTTTGTCGGCAGGACTGTGAACTGAGAAATTGCTATTCACAAGAGTTCCATTCTAGAGCAGTTCAATTAGGGAAAACAAATATCCAATTGTATGTATAAGTAATATTATTTTTCTTTTTTAGACTTCAGCTTATTTGTTGCATTATAATTAGCTTTTTTGGGTGCCATGGCTAAAGAGAGGAGTTGACATGGAATTCATCCAATTTCTTAGTGAAAAGTAGTAAGTATGAATTTCCACAACATTTCATCCTTAATCCATGAATCACTTCTGCATTAATGCTTTCTAGTCTAAGTCTCGTGCTAAAAGTTCTTTTTGTGTTGTGTGTGTGAGAGAGAGAGAGAGAAAACGTGCGACCAGAGGGGCGGTGGGGGGTGGTAGTGAGGAAGGGCATAGGGAGAGGGAGAAGGACAGAGAGAATCTCAAGGAGGCTCCACACCCAGCATGGAGCCCCAGGTGGGTCTCGATCTCACCACCCTGAGATCATGACCTGAGCTGAAATCAAGAGTTGGTCGTTCAACCCACTGATCCACCCAGGCGCCACTCGTGCTAAAAGTTCTGTAGGGCCCATAACCCCCTGATGTGGTCATAGAGGGAGCACATTTTCCATCAGCGACTCTGGTCACAGAAAAACATTACCCAGTTACACGTAAAGTTGTGAATATCGGTTTAAAACCATCCTTTTGTTTTCCACTCCTCCATTCCAATTTCTGATTCAGGTTGCTGCTGTTGTTTATTATTGTTGTTGTAAAAAATAATCTTAATATTACCAATCTTGCTTCAAACACTTGGGTCTCTAGTGACATGGTGTCATCATTCCTTAGAAAACAATATATTTATGCATGTGTACAAATGGTTAAAGTTTGTATTCTATGATAAAATCAGTCATGGTCATTACAGCTTCATGGAAAACACAGTAGGGAAAAAAAAACACCACCAGTTCTTCTAAGACAAAAGGAAGAGTGGTCACAAATTGGGGGCAAGTTTAAAAAAAAAAATCAAGGCCCAGATTTTTATACTATCATATTTGTGTAACATGAGGCACCACTTACTTTATTCTTAAGGGATTCACCTAGAGCAGGAGTCAGATTAATGTTTATGAGAAAGCTACTTCTTTGCTCCGATAAGTAGGTGAGTTATTTTAAAAAAGGCTATTAGAATATTATAGAGTAGAAATAATTTCTTTATCACTGCCTTCCAATTATATATTATATTTTTAACTACAAAGCAGAATCATAAAACCTTAGAAAGGGAAGGGACTTTATAATTTGAACTCTTTGACGTTTTCCAAATGTACCATATTTGAATTCATTTTCCACCTGGACACAAAACTAGTTTGTCTTTTTTTAAAGTGTAAGGATAACAACATGTTTTATAATGAGTTGCCTAATAAAGGCATATTATTAATGGTAACTGAACTATCTAACAGATGGAGTTTATGTCACCTTGTTAAATAACTACATTTTGTGAGACCTAACAGTTACATAGAGTGGGTTTCATCCAGCTAATAATAAAGGAACAAATGACAAACTAAGCTTAACTTCTAAACAACACAGTTTTTACCACCATCCTGAAGCACCCGTGTGCAGACACACAGACACATCCTAAAGATGTTGACTCACTCTGGATTTCTAAGTTAAACCTATGTGAACTCAGCAGCGTTCTCTCTTGAACTCCAGGAATGATGGGAAAACCAGAATTTTTGGTAGTGATGGAGAAAGACACCTTGTTCTCTATGTGGCACGATGTGAAATGGGAGGCATGAACTGGAGCAACAATAAACAGGTTGAAGCCTCACAGGCTGTTTTGTGATTTATTCCCTGAGATGCTTATGTGAATTTCTTTAGAATTAAAAGTTATTTTTCTTTCGTTTCTCAAATGATGCAGGCTGAAATCATCCATATTTACACTAGACAATAGGTTTAAGTTAGATGGTATTGAACATTTTTAAAAACTTGAGTTAGGAAATAGAGAGGTTTTACTGCTAATTTTGGAAACTTAAAAATCAAAATAAATGGCTTATGGCAGATGTTTATGTAAATAACAATTTTCAATAGAGGCAATGGTCAAATTTTATATTTCTAATGTGATGTTTTTATAATTGTATTATACACCTATTTACCTAATTATTCTAGATTTTGGGGGGCAGATTTATTTTTAGAGGAGGAGATAATAAAATGAAATCTGTGGGGCGCCTGGGTAGCTCAGCTGGTTGAACGACTGACTCTTGATTTTGGCTCAGGTCACGATCTCAGGGTCGTGAGATTGAGCCCTGAGTCAGGGCTCCACGCTCAGTGGGGAGTCTGCTTGAGATTCTCTCTCCCTCTCCTTCTGCCCCTCCCCCTGCTGTGCTCTCTCTCTCTCTCTCTCTAAAATAAATAAATAAAATCTTAAAAAAAATGAAATCGGTAAAATGGTGAATATCCATCACTGGTTAAGAACAGAAGAAAAAATGTCTACTACCTCTTCGCAGGCTAATGGCTAAATTGATTTTATTAGGGGGTCCTTGTTCCAGTAGAGTACTATATCAGGAAAACAAATAGTTTAAAAAAAAATAACTATAAGCTATTTATGAGCATAACACATAGTTGCCCTAACATCCCCATTAAAACAATAAATCTTTAGGTTGAGAAACATGAACTAGTTGACTATGATGGATATTGATTGGTTTGCTGTCATATAGAACTTGAGGTGGAAGAAGAAACTGAGCACATACACCATTTTAAATCAAGACCTAGGTGTTATTTTTTTTTTTTAAGTATAGTGCGTTTACGCATATTAGCCAAGAGTGTTCAGGAACTCCTAAAAAATGACCCTAAGCATTTTTCCATATCCATATTTTATGGACTCCTAGAAAAAATCTATTCCAAAACATCTTTACTTTACAAATAAGATCAATGAAGTATAGGTACACTAAGTGATTTCCCGAAAATGACTCAGCTAGTTAATAGCAGAGGGGAGATGAAAACAGATTTTCAGTTTTAGGTTTTAGCTTGCTTCACGCCTGGCTCTGTTTAAGCAAAGGTTATTTTAAAAGACACAATTTTTCCAAAAATGGCCATACCTATAATATCAGAACATTTCTTGGAAACTAAGAAAATGTACACCTTTTAAAAGTAGTAGTATGAGTTTTAGTGTCACTGAAAGAAGTTGAAGGGAAATTTACAACATTGCTAATAAATTAAATTAAAAAATATGTCTGTATATTTTGTAAGTAAAAGCTTTGAAAACACAGTAGGTATATCAAAACTTTTTATTCTCTTCTTCTCTTTTCTTCTACATGCAGTTATCAATTTGTGGGAAAAAAGGAACAATTTAGAAATCTGGTTCTAGAACTTGACAATAGCCTGAGGCTACTGCTTAAGTCTTATCCACTTGCATTGAGCACTATTTCAAGCTGTTGACTGAACATGCTGACCAAGCAACATATCTCCAAGCAGTAAGTATGCTTCCCTTTGCATTTTACTAGAAGAAAAAGAATGAAATGAAAAGAAAAATAGGCTGAGGGGAGGCTGGGTGGCTCAGGTGGTTGAACGTCTGACTCTTGATTTCAGCTCAGGTCATGATCTCAGGGTGGTGAGATGGAGTCCTGCGTTGGGCTCTGCCTCAGCATGGCATCTGCTTGTCCCTCTCCTTTAGCTCCCCCAACCCCTAACCCCATGCTCTCTCTCAAATAAATAAAATCTTAAAAAAAAAGAAAAGAAAAATAGGCTGAGCTGAAGGCAGATTCTGCAAAAACTATTTAATAGATGCTTTACTAGTTAAAAATGGTAGTTGTAGCAAAGGACCCATAGAAATGTAGATCTATCACATTAGATACTAGGAGTGAAATCATAAAGATGGGGGAAATAATTCAATCAAGTACAAAATGGCAAATATTTAAAATTAATTTGGCTTTCAAGCAAAGAAATGGATTGTACATATACACTAAGTGTACTCACTCATCAATCAGTAACCATTTGTTCAATATTTACATGCCCAGACCTGTGCCAGGTATATTGGAGGATATAAAATAAGCATGAGACATATTTCTGTCACCAAGAAACTTACAGTCTGGTAAGAGGCAGGACTAAAATAAATTAGGTGATTTGAGAACAATTAAAGGTTAAGCTACTGGGGACCTGACTGCTAATGTTTGAAAGGATCAAAAGGAAGAATCATCTAGGTGGCAGCAGTACATTGTTGGATGGGATTTAGATGGATGAGAGAAAGGGAAGAAGAATGGGATAAACCAGGCAAAAAAAAAGGGTGATTTTTATGGATATGGTAAATATGCGCACTCTTGGGGAAAATTTGTGTTTCGGAGAAATGGAAAATTCTATACAGGAAAGGCAGGATTATAGAGCTTTGAAAATCAGATGAAGGTCAGGATTGATAGAGTAGGTAAGGGGGTCATTGAGGTTTCTGAGCAGATTAGAGCCATCGAAAAAGTGGTAGTTTAGGAAAATTAGTCTTAGAGTGATATGCAGAATGGGTTAGAAAGGGGAGGGAGGCACTAGGGCTAGGAGAGCTGGTCAAGGGCCTGTTGCAGTGTTAGCCCTGAAACAAATAGGATGTGGACCACGTTGGGAATGCAGAGAATGAGATAACCTTAGGAGACACTTTGAGAAAGGAAATAGCAGCATGTGGTGAGATGTAAAGGATGAAGGACTAACAATAGTTGAAAACGACTCTAAAGTTTCTATTTCAAGAAAGGCAAAGAATTTTAGTATCACTAACAGACAATGATTAGTTAAAAAAAGGAATCATTTGATTGGTGGGAAAAGTGACCAACATAATTGTGTATGTTGGTAGGAATTGATAAAGCAATGGTGCATCCCTAATGGAAATATTCTTAGACAGCTGGAGGTACCTGCAGCTCAGACCCAGAGGTGAAAAGATTTGAAAGCTACAACACAGAAGAACACAGAGGGAGTGACTGAACCAACAAAAGATCAGAGACTTGAGTATACCAAAAATTAGGGGATGACAGAGAAATTGGAAATACTAACATAGAATGGATCTATCAAAGCAGAAAACTAGAAGAAATGAGAAGAGAGGATTAGAAAAACCAGAAAGAAAAAGTTTCAAAAGGAAGGTGGTTTAGTAGAAATGTCACAGAAAATCAAGGGTGAGGAGTACAATGGGCTTGACTTAGAGGTCTTTGACTTAATGGCCTTTATAAGAGAAGTTTCAACAGAATGTTGATATAGGCTACAATGGAGGAGTCCAAGCATGAAAGGATGAACAAAAAGCAAAGGTGATGGAGACAAGCCACATGGTCTATGGATTTTTACTCTATAGGTATTTCTTTATGGTAATACATTATATTATGAATGGTAACAGTAATAAGAAATACCTACAGAGGACTTAGTATGTGCCAGGCACTGCTCTAAGTATATTATATGTATTTCCCTATTTATGTCTCATAACAACTCTTGAGACAGGTACTACTACTATTCCCATTTTACAGGTGAGGACACTGAGGTACAGAGAAGTTAAATAACTTGCCCTCAGTCATGCACTTAGTAAGCAAGAGATTTGCACTCAGGCAGCTCTGATTCTAGAGCCACAGGGCTCTTAATTGCTTTGCAAGGCTTCCTTTTGAAGCAAGCAGACAGAAATTGGCAAAATGAGCACAAGATTTAAACCAGATAACACTAAAGCATATCTGAAGGCAGAAGGGAAAGAAAAGGAAAGACTGAAAAATGCTATGAAATAAAGAGCATACACTGGGGCATAGAGAAGGAGATGGGCTCAGGAAGAGGGTGTGCTTGGAGTAGTGGAGCCCTCTGGGATCCTGGGGCATGGGGCATGGGAGCTGATATTTACACATATTACATGGGTGTTCATTAGTGTCTCTGTGTCAGGGGAGGGGGCAGTCACTTGCCTGCAAGGCTTCATGGAGGTTGCCATTGTAGTCTATGATCTCGGTGGCTCCCTGATCTCCCTTTTGACCAGGTGGACCCTGTGAAGAAAACCAATCAAGGGAAAATCATGGAAGTTAAGCTAGGCTGTACAAGGGACTGTGGCAAAAACAAAAATGGCAACATGCAACTCTGTCTGATCTATTCCGTTGTATGGTCCAACTGCACTGCAGAGTAATCATGTTCAAATTTTGTCCTTATTGCAAAGGAGACAGCGGTTTTAGCTTCCTATAGATGGTAGATTAAAAATATGAAATCTGATTTTTTAAAAAAAGAGAGGATTCAATCTCTGAAGCTGTTTTCTGAAAATTATAAAATGTAGGCTAATCTGATTTGACTTGCAACGTTTTGTTGGCTTTAACAACAAACTTAAAGCAACCCCTAATCTCTTTCTATACTTCTACATCTCATTGGTTGTTTCCTTATTCTTTAAGAAGATAGAACACTGTTCTGTAGGAAATGCTTGGCTTTCTCAGTAGGAACAGAATTCCATTAAAATTAAACCAAAATAGGGTACAGAAATAAGATATATACCCTAGACATTAGCTCTGCCACTGAATTTCCATTAGTCATGTCCTAATTCCCTGCCTATCTTTAAAAAAGGCTATGAAAATATGGGCTATTGCTTTCTTTATAATTGGCTTAATTGAAAAATGGAAAATTCTATTAGCTGGATGGTTATGGGCTTGTTATTGCTCCGTTAGCAGAGGGAAAGTAGATAGAAAGAGTTCTTTAGGCCTTCTTCTTGTGGAGCTTATTTTATGTGTTAGAATCTACATACTCATTGCACTTGGTGACCAAAATAAAAAATAAGAAATAAAGGGGGAGCAGCAGAAATAATCAGTAGTCTACCCCCCAGTGCTATTATTGGGTAATATTAGTCCAGGTGCCATGTGAAAAGCCACATGGACACATGAGTCAAATCTGGGATTGTAGGGGCCAAAAGCTTAGATGAGAAGTGTACTCACCCTTGGTCCCAGGGCTCCAGAGTCCCCTTTCTCTCCACGATCACCCTTTCCCCAGTGAAAATAGAAAAAAACTGAATTAGTAGTGGGGCCAATGGTGCAGAAATTTCTCAGATCTAAGGATGTATTTAATGCCATGCAGCAGCACCTTTGTTATGAACTTCTGACATGGTAATAACAACTAGAAGAACAAAAACCACTGACATAGAAAATACTTATTTAAGATGCACCGTAAATTCCCCTTCAGATGACAGAGTATCTTGGAACAATAATATATACAGTAACTTTCTTATTAGAGATTTTCAAAAGCAAAGCAAGTGGTTTCTATGATACCCAAAGTAAGCTTTTACCTCTCAGACTGAGCCATGTTCTTGTTTTTATATGAAGAGATTTGGGGCAAAGGGAAAAAGAGCCAATCAACTGGGTTGTCTGTTTTCTGAGAAAAAAAAAGATGTATAGATAACCTGGACAGGGAAGGAATGGAGAGCTCAGTCTTGGGAGGTTTAGAAGGGAAAGGTCATCAGTGAGGCCTCTCTTTGATGATGATGAAGATCTAAGGAAAAGTCTATAGGTATAGGCCTTTTAATACTCAGAAGGTGCTGAAGTGGACAGCAGCTAGCTAGAGCTGGTTGGCAGGGCTGAAGGTCAGGGGTAGGGCAAAGCCAGCTTTGTTTTTCAAATGCAGAATGAAAAATCTCTAAAGTTCCATTCATGGTGTTATGACCCAACCTGGAGAGAAACCAGGAATAGTCCTTGCACAAACCACACAGGCATCACTCTGAGAACACTCAAAATTCTCCTAAGTCTAAAGAAAAACTTTGGAGTAGAGATACATATGAACCTGTGTCGACTTGAAAGTTTTTTAAGACAGCCTTAAATTTGTAGTGTCCTTTTCCTAGGTGTAATTCAAAGCATTTTTAATATATCTTTCTATATATTTCATAAAATGGATATGGACCAATGAAAGTAAGCAGGAAAAGGGTTTTTAATTTTTTTCCATCCACATTATATGAATAACATGGACCATAATAATTAAATTTGTTATGAATAGAGAATTAATAATTTCTACTCTCTGTTTTCCTCATTTTTTACCCATTTTTTTCATGTTATTAGCTGATAGCACCTTAAATAACAGGATTCTGCTAACAGTATATAGATTATGGCAAATATTATAAAGAGCATGATCAAGGAAAGAATTTCAATCACCAGTGAAATTTTAATGCCACGGAGGGAATCAACTAACTTAAAAGCAAAGTATAATTTGAACATTTATCACAAAGACAGCCAGGATATAAGTGAGATTATACCCTACATGGTGTAAATTAAATAAAGTCCTTTTTTTTGCCCCAAGAAGCTATTCTTATGAAACAGGAAATACAACTTCTCTTAAAGAATAGTCAGAAGCACAAGAACACACAAAAGTAAACAAGATGAAACAAACCAATTGTTTCGAGATAGTATCACAGGGATGAAAATATTGCGATCCCAGTGTGTGAGAATTTAAAACGTGATTCTCTGTGGAAGAAGCAAAAGGCACAGCTCTTGAATGCCTCATGTGACATTAAAATGGTTACTTGGTTACTGACCTTTGACCCCTTTGGGCCTCTAGTTCCTGATTCACCTTGTTTCCCCTATTATAGGAGAATATGAAGATGGAAAAGAGAAATAACAGAGGAGATAAGAACAGAAAAAAGAAATTAGCAGTGACTCAGAAAAATGAAAAATGGAAACACTTTATTGTAACTGCCTCAATATACGGCTGGACATAATTTTGGCTATCATAATACAAAGCATAAGTAGTTATCACCATAACATTAGCTCATTCTCTGGTCTCACCACCACCTTCATTCCATTATAATTCTGAAGACTGCCCACCCATCATGGATGGGAAGAGTTCTGTGAATAATCCTCATTAGTCTCAACAGTGTTGGCATAAATTTCTTTTTCATCAAAGAGTATACCATTTCCTGTGTCTCTAGGAAGGGTTATTAGAATAAAGTGTTACCATATTAGTTTACAGGAAGTTTAGAGGAATAAAGACTGAATAGTGAAATCCTTAGCTCTGATATTTTCAGGGTGTTCTACAACTTCAAGTTACCACAGAAACTAACACAACGCATATCAACATTTTTCTCAGTAAGTTTTTTTTTAATTTTATTTTCTTATGTTAGTCAACAAACATTACATCATTCGTTTTTGATGTACTGTTCCATGATTCATTGTTTGCGTATAACACCCAGTGCTCCATTCAGTACGTGCCCTCTTTAATACCCATCACCAGGCTAACCCATCCCCCCCCCCCCCTCCCCTCTAGAACCCTCAGTTTGTTTCTCAGAGTCCATAGTCTCTCATGGTTCCTCTCGCCCTCCAATTCCCCCCCCTTCATTTTTCCCTTCCTACTATCTTCTTTTTTTTTTTTTAACATCTAATGTATTATTTGTTTCAGAGGTAAGTTTTAATACACACTGAGTGATAGCATGTTAATATGACAGTACCTCCTCTCTCTTTACATTTGGATGTGTTCTTAAATTTGTTTACTGGACAGAACAAACTGGAAAAGTTGAATTGTAAAATTCCTTTTGAAAAGAACCAAGCAGTGTGCATTTCAATAAATTGTGATTTTTGCTGTTTTAATACCTGTTGAGGAACTGTATTTTAGTTTTGTGTTCTAAAGTAAGTAGGACACATTTCCAAACCAAAGAAAGCTATCTTCCAATGCAAGAATAACTGACCTTTGGTCCAGGGGCTCCAGGCTCCCCTCGCTCACCTCTTCCAGGAGGCCCTGCCTCCCCACGTTCACCCTGTCACAAAATACAAAACAAGTAAGTGGCAATTCCTCCTTCCCCCCAGGCTGGTCCCTGTAGATTAACAAGTGAATTCAATAAAATCAAGGAAAGCACAGAGTTACCATTTATTTACCATGTATCCTGCATTGTATTAATCTCAACATGGATTATCTCATTTAATAATCAAAACAATTTTTTAATGTTTTTATTATCATTCCTATTTTATACACAAGGAAATGGTTTGGTAATGCCTACCTGATACCTATGTTGGTAAATGGGGAAGACCTTTAAAGGGAATTGATAAGAACCATCATTATATCTCAAGACAGACATGGGCATGGTTTTCATTCTGCAGCCACTTTTTAAGATCTGCCAGGAAGAAGCATGGCAAAGTGGCTAAGTGCCAGGTTTTATAATTTGATAATATCCTGAGCTTTAATCCTGGCTCTGTTATTTACTAGTTCCATGTTTGGGACAAATTAGTTAAGTTCTGAGAGCCTCAGTTTTCTCTGTAATGTGAAGAAAAGTATAGTATTGATCTCACGATTTATGAAGGCAAAGTGCTCAGAATGGTGTAAGATACATAGGTGTTATAGCTTTTAACTATATTCATAGCTTTATGAAGTATGAACATGATCACTGTTCTCAAGGAGCTAATGATCTGGTTAGACAGACAAGATCCACATAAACAAAATAGTTAAGAATTAAGGAGTAATTAAGGCTAATAGTGAGAGAAGAGGAAATCCCATAGGGTTTTGAATGGTCCAGACTGGCTTGCTGGAGGTGAGATCCGAGTCATGTCCTAAAGGTTGTATTTTATAATTATTGTTGTTTATGACTATGCTGTTGATGAGTCCAGCAGCTGCCTAAAACACTTCACATGTGCTATCTTATTTAATCGTTGGGACAAAGGGGAAAGGTGATGGTTCCCAGAGTCTACAGATGAGGAGACTGAATAAAGCTCAGAGAGGTTAAGGAACTTGGCCAAAATCACAAAGCTTTTAAAGTGGGAGAGCTGTGATGTAAAACTGTGCTCAAACTTCTGTATTTTTTTGCATAATGTTTCTGTATGTAAATCTTTGCACATATCTGGTTATTTTATTTTTTTAAAGATTAGACTAATTAAAAAAAATTTTTTTTTAATTTTATTTATTTATTTGACAAAGAGAGAGAGATCATGAGTAGGCAGAGCAGCAGGCAGAGGGAGAGGGAGAAGCAGGCTCCCCACTGAGCAGGGAGTCCAATGCGGGGCTCCATCCCAGGACCCTGGGATCACGACCTGAGCCGAAGGCAGACGCTTAACCGACTGAGCCACCCAGGCTCCCCTGGTTGTTTTCTTAGGATAAATTCCTAGTTGGGGAATTGCTGGGTCAAAAAGTACAAACATTTGAAAAGCTTGCCAAATTGCTCTCCAGGAAGACCGTGTATTGTTTTCCATTCCTGAGCACAGAGTAGAGAGTGTCTGCTTCCTCCCCGATGGGTAGAATTGTAATAATCAAAAAGGTTTGGAATTCAGACTGGTGATGGCATGTTTATGGGTGAGAAAGGCACCCTCCTCACTGAAGGAACTGATTCATCATGGAAAGGAGAATAAAATAGCACTGGATCCATCCTGGGTGATTCTGGGCTCTAAATTCCAAGATCTTTATCTGTATCATGCCCACTTTGGGAAGCCTGTGGGGTTTTGCAGGGGAGATGGGATAGATTAGGGCAAGGATTAAAGAAGACTCAGCAGGTTCTTCAGGATGAACCGAAAAGAATGTGAAAATGGAGAGCCTGGGAGAAAGGCAAGGGACTTGTCTGGATAGAAGAAATGGAAGAGATCTTCCAAAAGGGATTTTCCAGGGATTAGAGATGGAAGGGGCTCTGTTGGTGTATGGTATTTTAATTTTTAAAAAATGTACCATATTTGGTCTTTCTTTTAATATTTTACAGAAGAATTCTAAAATAGTAATTATAAGCTTATTTTAAAGGAAAGCAAAAACTTGAGAAAATCATTTATCTATAGCATACTACAGGAATGGAGCCTATATATTTTTACCTAGAATCACTTTTTGTCATAATGCCCCTAATTAGCTGCTTGTCACCCTATGGAATTATACTATTTATGTGTTTACTTCTATCTCTCCTTCCACCTCTGTCTCACATATACTGGAATGTAAGCTTCAGGAGAGTAGAGAGTTTTTGTTGCAGTTACTCTTCATCCTCAAATATTAGAAAAATCTCTGGCAAAAAAATGTGCTGAATTAATGAATAAACATTTTATTCAAAGTATTCTGAATTATTTGTAATAAAACCCCATTTCTTTAGACTGACATAGGTTTCTCTCAGACACTTGATACAGATGCTGAGAAAACAGCAGTACATAAAAACAAATTTTTAGATACCCTTATACATCTTCCTTCCTTACAATCTCTCTTCACTGTGTTGGGGATCAAATATGCAGGATTAGTTTATTTTTTAAGTCTGAATTTAGTGGTACAAATCCAGACTTGCCTACACAACTGGAAAAAGGCCACTGTTGGGCTGAGAGAGAATTTTAAATAAACATGACTTTTCCATTATGATACCAAATTCATGTTAAGCAATTCAGCTGAAAATTGCTCATATTGTTAATATAATTGTTAAAATATTGTTAATAAAACAAATTTCCTGTCCACATCCCTTCTTGTGGAAAGATGAAACAAGTACAGTACATTCTTTACTTCTATTGGGAATTCAGAGCCGTATCTGTTAAAATCAGGCTGGGTTCTTCATGAACAGAAATCAATGTTGATTTTGTGGGTTTACACCTGGATTTTTTTTGAAACCCCAGAGTAGTTTATTTTTATTTTTTTAAAAGACTTTATTTATTTATTTGAGAGAGGGAGACAGAAATAGCAACAGAGATAGTTAAGAGCATGAGTGGGAAGGAGAGGGAGAGCAGGCTTTTCCCTGAGCAGGGAGCCCAACATGGGGCTTGAGCCCAGGACCCTGGGATCATGACCTGAGCCGAAGGCAGATGCTTAACCGACTGAGCCACCCAGGCGCTCCAGCTCCAGAACAGTTCAAAGATTTTATTTTTAAGTAATCTCTATACCCAGCATGGGGCTCGAATTCACAACCCTGAGATCAAGAGTCTCATACTCTGCTGACTGAGCTGGCCAGGTGCCCTGAAACTGCAGGGTAGTTGAAAATCAGTGAACTAAAAAAATGATATTTAGGGATGAACTCCATTCCCTACGGCCTGTGTTTCTTCTACTTCCCCCTTTTTAGCAAACAAAATGCCACAAACATTTAAAGATCTGGTTCACACCTGGTTCTCTCTGTCATTGACCAAGTTTCCTATTCCTTTTGCTGATCTATGAGGCCGGCTTCTTTCCCTGGCTCTGAGGCAGCAAGCCTGGATAAATACCACAGTTCTCATGTGAACACGGAATCCTCATTATTCTCTTGCTTCCTCTCTCTTTATTCCAGAAAACACATCTCTGGTGTGAATCTGTTCAGGCTAAAACAGGCATTCCTCATATTTTGTTAATAAGCCTGACAGCTCATTATGTGAAAAAGAAATTGCTTGAGAAAACAGCAATTTTTATAAATTCTACCGGGTTTCAGTCCCCCTTAGGCCACACATAGTTTCCATTTACTAGGATTAGAGTTATTTTTCTCTTGATCAGCAGAAATGAGGACCCCTCTGTCAAAACAGACCATAAACATATTTCCCGAGCTCTTAGAAATCATCCTGGCTTATTTCTGGTGAATGCAATACACACCGAGGCAAAGACTTCTACAGTTTAAAAATAAAAGAATGTAGTTTGATCTAATTTTGCCCCTTTGATTCATGAGCCTGTCATGAGTAAAGTTCCACCCATACCTTTTTATGTCTTACTGAGTAGATAAAAAGAGAACTGTGGGTCCAACTACATCCACAGCAACATAATTTTTTATATGGTGGCATATAGATTTTGCTTTTAGGTCCCTCTCTAGGGTTGCCAAGTGTAAGATCATGACATGGTTTTCATTACAGGATCTTTCTCAGACATTATTCAGGATAGATCCTTTTGAGATGAGACACTTAGGAATCTATATATCAGTACTTGCCTTTGAAATCTAGGGAGTGAGCAGGGGGCAAGGGGAGAGGGATAATAATAATGTTTGATTTACAAGTATGTCCTAAAATTGGCGATAAGGAGCAGCAGTTAATGATTTCTATCTCTCCTCATCACAATCCCCCTACTTTTTCATATGGTCAGGAGGCAAACAGCATCATATCAATTTAGGAACAATTTGGGGAAAACAGGAGCAACTAATATATTTCATTATCCTGTTGTCTTACCTGAGGCTTTCTGGAATTAACTTCCTATTACTCTATTTAATATGGTTTTCCATTAGAAGTGTTAGTAATAGGTGATCGATGTTTTCGTTCTCTATTAGGCAAAAATATCTGGTCACCTAAACAATAAAGTCACTCCACACTTTTTTCAACACAATGAACTAAAAATATATGACAAAATATTTCAGAAATAAAGGAAGGAAAAAAGCTCCACTAACCTTTGTTCCTGGTAACCCTGGTAAGCCTGGTTCTCCTTGAGGACCAATGAAACCTGGTTCTCCCTTTTAAAAAAGATGGGCATATGAGATTGTTATTCATTTGGCAGTAAATAAGTAAAGTTAAACTGATTTACTTTTACTGGGATTTTACCCCTTTGATTGTATGCAGCTTTCCTGCTAGACCCAGCCACTGAGTATAAAATTAATCAGAATTGGTTTTGGTCAGTGAAAATACTCTGGGCAGAACTTTGGAGAAACTTAAGAGAGTAAAATTGACAAAGAAACCAGACCGATGTCTTTACAAATTTCTTTGTCATCTGTTGTCCTCTATTTCTTATCATTTACCAAATTAAGATCCATTATGTTAGGGTGGATGTGGTACGTGGCCTCTAAGACAGGCCTTAATGATCCCACCTCTTGGGTATTCATGCCCTGTGTAATCCCTTCTGCTAAAGTGTAGACTGGACTTACTAACTCATATTTAATGAACAGAATATATTGGCAGAAGTAATGGGAGAAGTAATCACTTCGGAGACTAAGTTATAAAAAGACTGTGGCTTCCATCTTGGGGCCCTTTCTTGTTCTCTCTTACTTGGATCCCTTGCTTTGGGGAAAGCAAGCTGCCATGCTCTGAGCAGCTCTATGGGGAGGCCCACATGGTGAGGACCAAGTTCTGCCAACAACCATGTGTGTGAGTTTGGGAGCAGATGGTCCACTCCAGCGGAGTCTTCAGATGAAACCACAGTCCTGGCTGACAGTTTGACTGCATCCTCGTGGGAGACACTGAGCCAGAGGCACCCATCTGAGTTGTGCTCAAATTCCTTTTCTTCCAAAACTGTGAGGTATTGGATGTTGTTAGTTTTGGGGGTAATATGGTAGGCAGCAATAGATAACTGATATATAGGTGTGGCCAGGGAAGAGATTCAGGAATGTTCAGCATGAAAGGAGAACTCTCTCTCCTTGCTATACCTCCATAACCTCTTCCCCACTACCTGGAGGAAACCCAGTTGTGATATATTAAAATATATATTTGGTCTTGTTCCTAGTTCCTTGCACAGAGCTCCTAAAACCCTTGGAATTTCCTGAGTGATAAAGAGGAATAGGAGTATCTTTTGTTACTCATAACAAATCCCTTTCAAACATACCTGAATTTATGCTAAGGAGGTGACTTGGTGGGTTCCTAGATAGCTTCAGGAGGGGGGTGTTAAAGTTGGAGCTTTCAGTCCTTCTCCTCTCACCATCTCCAGAGAGAGGGACTGGCAATTGAGTTCAGTCACCAATAGCCGATGATTTAATCAATCATGCTTATGTAATGGAACCTCTATAAAAATCTTTAAACAGTAGGGATTGGAGAGCCGCCAAGTTGGTGAACACATCAATGTGCTGGCAGGATGGTAAATCTCAACTCCATGGGGACAGAGGCTCCTGTGCTTGAGACTCTTTTGACCTCACCCTACCTACCTCTTCATCTTAATCTTTTTATAATAAACTGTAATAGCATGACATTTCCCTGAGTTTTGTGGGTTATTGTAGCCAATTATCAAACTTGAGTGGGGATGAGGGTGGGTTGGTTGCTAGTACCCTCGAATTTGTAGCCAAGTCAGAAGGGCAGGTAACCAGGGGACCCAGTACTTGTGATTGGGGTCCTTAGACCATCCTTTATATAAAGAGGTTGAAAGTGAGGGCAGCTTTGTGGGACTGAGCCCTTAAAACCTGTGGAGTCTGATGCTAACCCTAAATAGTTGGTGTCACAATAGGACTGAATTGTAGGACACCCAGTTGGTGTCAGAGAATCAGAGAGTTGGAGAACTGGTGTTGGAAAAGACACATTTGTCAGAAAACACCTGAGACCAGTGTTCATATTTTCTTCAGTATCCATAAAGTTTTATTTTCTTTTTAACAATGTGAGCTCAAATGTGAGGGTCTAACTTCCTGAAATCTATAAAGAAGTTTTAAAGCAAAAAATGTAATGGCTCTGTTCCCAAACTTACTGCTTCCCCCCCTCCATTTGGATTATTTCTGGAGCAGTTGCTAATGTTATTAATTCATTTCATTTTTTTCTAATGTAGTGATATTTCAACATTTGTTTTTTGATACTTAGAGTTGAGCAGGAAGATACAGAGAGGATGTTTTATGAAAAGTGTTTAATGTCATCAAATATTTTGAAACACGTCAGTTTTAAAAATATGCCACATAAAACCTTGGGTACTGGGTGGGGAACAAACGGATATCACTACCACAAAATGTATCACATTGATACAGAACTCAAATATATTTATCTCTAGCTCTGATGTAATTTTTGGATGATCTCTTAATTGTCTAAAATGAAAATCAACAATATTCGGAGAAATCAATGATGACCATTCTACATTAAAAAGAATTTAACTTGTTATTTTAAACAAAAAAATCACATGGAATACATTTATTTACAAGTAAGATATTTCTCCCAGTAAAATTTCATATACAAATTCATAAATATTCTCTGTCCACCCTCAAGAAAAAGTTGCAATAAAGTCAATGTGTATCATTAGTAATGACTTACTGTCACGAAAATCTAATGTGAGTTAATAGGTTGAAAATTTATAGGTAGAAAATACTCTTGCATATCTTCAAGTAGAAATAAACTGATCTCACTATTTAGCAAAGCAAATAGAACACTATTAAAGCATACTAGTAAAAGAGAAGAAAAAAGAGTAAATGCTGAAAAGATGTATTTCTTATTCAGGTTAGTGTTTAGTTTATGCAAAGATGAAGCATGCAGTTTCAAAATTCACAAATAACTAAATAAGGCCTTGTGATTCTCAGTGGTCAGACAAAAGTGATTTTTCTTCCTTTAAAAAAATAGAATATACATTAAATTTTCCTGAGGAAAGTATATAGTAAGTTCCCTTAAATAGAATGTTCAGGGGGGGAAAGTTTTTATTTCCAGATACACAATTAGCAATGCATTTGACAGTCACAATGATTTTAGCATTGCTAATATTGGCTAATTTTAAAGACTTTGAGTATGATTAGTTTTACCTTATTTCACTCTAAGAAAGCATCTACCATATTGATGTATTCATTTCTTACCTCAATTTATTCAAGGGGAAATAGCATACTTAACTTTAAGATCACAATTTTAGGTTTATTTAATTCCAGAGCTCTCAACCACTTTGGAGATATTTTCTTTTTTTTCTTTTTAAAGATTCCATCCATTTATTTGAGAGAGAGAACGAGAGAGAGAGAGAGTGAGCACGAGATGGGGGGAGGGTCAGAGGGAGAGGCAGACTCCCCGCTGAGCAGGGAGTCCGATGCGGGACTCGATCCTGGGACTCCAGGATCATTACCCGAGCCGAAGGCAGTCGCCTAACCAACTGAGCCACCCAGGTGCCCTGGAAATATTTTCTTAATCTTCTCTATATCTTGGCAGGATGGGGAGGAAATAATCAATGGTCTCTTTTCTGTCTCAGGCTTGAAAGACAATTGTTGAAGTAAATAATGCATAAATATACCTACTCATAGTCTTGAGATGGTCCGGTGTTTCTTAACTTCCTAAACTAATGACAGAGGTGCTCAACCTCTTTCATTTACCCGTATTCGTGTACACAGTAGGAAAAGTTCATTGATATGGTTTCAGATTCCACATTTCATTTAACCTTTAAGAAACTACCATTTGTAGAGTTTGGGTAGTACTGAAGAAGAATATCTACAATTTTATGAAAAGGCTATTAAAATAATCTTCCCTTGTCCAATGACATATCTGTGTGAGGCTGTTTTTCTTCCTACACTTCAACTAAATCAACAAATTGCAACAGATTGAATGCATAAGCAGATATGACAATCCAGCCACCTTCTGTTAAGCCAGACATTAAAGAGATTTGCCAAAAGTAAAAAAAAAAAAAGTATAACAATGCACTGTTCTTGCTAATTTTTTTTCTTTTGGAAAATTCAGTTATATTTCATAAACAAATGTTATTTAATTAACACATAATGGTTTTAAAAAAATTCCTCAGTTTTAATTTCTTTTTTTTTTTAATTTATTTGACAGAGAGAGACACAGCAAGAGAGGGAACACAAGCAGGGAGAGTGGGAGAGGGAGAAGCAGTCTTCCCGCTGAGTAGGGAGCCCAATGTGGGGCTCGATCCCAGCACCCTGGGATCATGACCTGAGCCGAAGGCAGACGCTTAATGACTGAGCCACCCAGGTGCCCCTCGGTTTTAATTTCTAATACAGAAACCTCAATAGATATAAGCCTACATAAATGAAAATTCTTTCAATCCTAGTTTTTAAGTGTGTAAAGGAGTTTTAAGACGAAAATTTTTGAGAACTCTTGGTACAAAAGTACAGGATTGAGTTAAAGCCTGGCTTTGCAAATTGGAATCCTGAGGTGCCCAATAACGGAAGATTCTACTGTTTTTAAAGGGTGGCTTAGTCAAGACTTATAAGATAATGCAAGCAAAACACTTAATGTTGTCTTTAGAATAAAGTAAGTGAACAATAACTTTGTTATTATTGTTGCCCTTATCTTACAGTCTCAAAAATGTTAGCTATCATCATTATTATTGTGGTTAGTAATAGTATTACATCATCTCTGCAACTAATTGGTGACATACAAGGTGACTTTTTGTTTCTCTACGATCTGTATGGGGCTATACACAATACCTCTCCAACTTCTTCCAAGAAGTAACCCTAAATTTTCTCATGTGAATATATCATCATTTCATGAGACAATATCCAGCTGTCAGAGACTGTAGGACTACAAAAGCAGAAGTGTATAAGGTAGAGAAGTGACAGGTGTACTAAGAATGAGTTTTCTTCCTGTAAGGAAGGAAAAGGAGAAAATGGTCATATCTACTGAATTTCTCTAAGTAAATGTAATCCTTTAAAAAAAATCTTTCCTCTTTGACAAGGACTGATTAAAAGTTCTAACCTCCTAAAATGTCTAGGAGAAAAGCCATGACAACCTATGGTTTTGTGGTGAAAAAAATAAGCAATTGGTTATTCTAGCGTAGTCACAATTCTCGTTAATCAGGATAGAGGAAGGAGACTGACTTAGGAGAAGGTAGGGGAAAGCAGCTGAA